GTGTGGTGTGTGTATGTGTCTGAGTGTGGTGTGTGGGTGTGTGTGTGTGTGGTGTGTGTGTCTGGGTGTGGGGTGTGTGTGTGTGGTGTGTGTGTCTGAGTGTGGTATGTGTGTGGGGGGGTGTCTGTGTGTGGTGTGTGTGTGTGTCTGAGTGTGGTGTGTCTGTGTGGTGTGTGTGTATATGTGTCGTGTGTGTGTGGTGTATGTGTTTGTCTGGGTGTGTGTGTGTGGTGTGTGTGTGTGTGTGTGTGTGGTGTGTGTATGTGAGTGTGATGTGTGGGTGTGTGTGTGTGTGTGGTGTGTGTGTCTGGGTGTGTGTCTGAGTGTGGTGTGTGGGGGGGGTGTGTCTGTGTGTGGTATGTGTGTGTGTGTCTGAGTGTGGTGTGTCTGTGTGGTGTGTGTGTATATGTGTCCTGTGTGTGTGTGGTGTATGTGTTTGTCTGGGTGTGTGTGTGTGGTGTGTGTGTGTCTGGGTGTGTATTTTACTAGTAATTTGACCAGGGCTGTGCATGCTAAGCAAGTACCCTTCCACTGAGCTAGATCCCCAGCCCTGAAAATTCCTATAGAAAGTTTGTCAAGTGGTACAAGATTGCAGGAACACTGAAAACACTCGATTAAAGAAGTACAACAGTGTAAACTTTTAAAAGAAAAATTTTGGAGTTAACTGACATGGGTTAGACTTTTGGCTGCACAACTTACTAGCAGTGTGAGTTGGAGCAATTTCTCAAGCCTTTCGGAGCCCCTGTCCCTTTGTCATCAATGAAGGAGGCCTCTTTTAGTTATCTTCCTGTTAGAGTAACACCCTGACAAAAGTAACCTAAGGAAAAGGCTTTATTTTGGTTCACAGTTCTAGGACCCAGTCCATCATGATGAGGGAGTCTGGGCTACAGGAGCCTGAGAGAACTGGTCCCATCCTGTCCACGGGAGGGAGGCAGAGAAGGTGAACGCCTTGCTCAGCTTCTCTGTTCATGTTCTGTCTGGGAACTGAGCCCAGGAACGAAGCCTCCCACTTTGGGCGTGGGTCTTCCCACCTCAGCCAACCCAATCAACCTAATCCCTCACAGAGAGGCCCAGAGACCAACCTAATGTAAACAATGCCCGGGAAGGCCCATCTCCCAGGCCATTCCGGATCCTGTCAGCCTGGCTGACAACTGGCACTGAGTACCACGGAGATGTCCTTACAGTTGTGACGGTGAGCAGATGTATGTGAATCAGTTATTAGCGATGGGAGTGTTTAGAAGCATCATGGCCGTCAGTGAAGAGTCAGGAACTGGAGTGCCTCCAGCATGGGTGGGAGATGTCTGTGGGCAGTCCCTGCTGAGTGGCTCCCAACCTTTTCCTTATTGCTATCAACAAAAGTCACTTGCTTCATAAGGCATGGCTCTAGTTTCATGACAAGTTTGTTCCTGCTTCCTACCTGGCTCTCACAGCTTGGCCTTGATTCTTTTAGCTCCACATAGAAAGGTTTAGGGCATAGAAATGATGACGTCACGGGGAGTTTTCCTACCCTAATTTCCTGCAGTGCTGCATCAAGATCCACCTAATCAAGAGCTCATTCCCTTCAGAGCAAACATTTCTGTCTCCTCGGCTCTGAATGTGGGTATTTTAACCTGTTGCTTAAAAATGTCCAGTACCTAGAAGAGCGAAGGTCACCTAGAGGGCCTGGTCCCAGGGACCATTTTGGAGTTGACGGCTCTCAGGAGAGTTGGAGGAAAGGCAGGTATGGTTTGATGCCCAAGGTGATTCAGAAAAGCCCCAGGGCATTTCCAAGATGGAGTCCATGTGTTTGCTCAGCTTCCTCCCACAGTGTTGTCTTAGTTACTTTGTGATGCCCACCTGTTTGATTAAGAACCAGTGCCAAGTTCCCAAGGCTTCATCCTCTGTCCATCCCTGTCCATCCATCTGTCCTTCCCTCTGATACCCAAGAGGTGACAGTGCAGTTGGAGGCCTCTGAGAGTTCACCATAGGAGGGGGGTAGGAGCACTAAGTTCTCCACAGTGAGGGACTTGTCATGCCACCCCTCTCCCCACAATGTGCAGACATTACATCCTCCAGAGTTTTAAGGCAGAATGACCTCCATTCCCAGAGGACAGGTTCACCTGTCTGTTGTCTTCACCGTGTCTAGTATCCCGGCAGGTGTACATCAACTAGAAAAAGTCCATAGCCCACAGTCAAATGTAATGACAGTCAAACAGAGTGGCTTGTATCTGGCATCCCTTCCTGCCTTTGCGCTTAAGAACCCATTATTAGCATAAAAAGTTACCTGTTCCAGAGAGGTGAAGACCAAGTCTAATGTGTATGCTAGGTCAGCATGGCCTTGAGGGTGGTACCCAGGTGACTCACCACCAGAGAATGAAAATTCCGTACTTTAGCATAGCCAGGGTCTGCATATAAATTGGAACAGGGCTAAGGCGTTTCCAAACAAAGCCAATAACTTTTCATGTCATCAGGTCATTGAGCAATGAGTACAGGTTTGGCTAAGACTGATGCCCAATGAAGGCCTGGCTTAGAAATTCCTACCCACCCCACCCCCCCCCCGGAAAATGTTCAAATCCACTATGAGGCCAACGCCACCAGGCCAAGGTGCTATTTTACCTATTTTGCTTCCTTTTCTACAAAAACATTCCTTTCAGTCTTTTTCATCTCCTCTCTACAATCCCATTTCCTTGAGTCCACCTGTTCTCCTGAATCTCCATCCATCCTGGCTTCCCCAAACCTTATACAGTCCAGAACCTGACCTCTCAAGGGGACCACACGAATGCACATCAGTAAGGGAGCAGGATCCCGGGGACAGAAAGGCGATGGAACACAGGCATAATGAGATGTAATCCCTACCCCCTGAACCCACTGTCAGAATAGACAGGTGTCTAACACACAGGCATGGTGTCCACAATAAACGTAACCAGACTAGAGACAAGCAGACGTTATCATGGAATGGTTTCCACCAGTCACACCCCAGTGCTTCTCCTGAAACACTTTTAGACCTGCTTTGCATAGGGAAGGAGGGAACACAAAGTGCTCCTGATATCTCACTCAGCAGCTACACGAACAGTACAGCCTTCCTATCCATGTTCAATGCAAAGGTGACAGTGTAAGTTGGACAACTGTGCTGCATGTATGACACCCCAACACATACTGCTTCCAAAGACCTTCTGTGACTTCATGTCTTTTGAAGCAAGTGAAGTGGCATTTTTGTGCTGGAGACTCATTAAAGTGTGTCCTTGAACACTGAAGGGTGTTCCGTTAACTTCAGAAGGGCGTGTTGATTCCTGTAGTAGGTTTCCATTTTCCATGCTAATTTATGGTTTTTAACAAGTGGAAAGCAGCAAACAAGAACTGAGCACAGGAAAGGCCTTGTGTAACCAGCAGATGGCATTTGCCACACTGCTCTCCCCACTGAGCCTGGGGACAGGCCACACGGGGCCGCTGCCTTGGGGAAGTGTTAGAAAACACAAAGTCAAGTGCGTACTTGTTTATTGAAAGAGAAAATGTCAGTGGCCACGAACACAGTATGTACAGAGCTCCAGGTTCAGAAGCAGAGAAAGTAGGAGAGAAGGGTTTCATTGGTTTATTTAGAACAGATGTAATCAGTGCACTTTCCTCAAGATAAATGGGGTGACAGGAAGAGATTACAGTGTATACAGGTGGAGCCAAGCAGTGGAGCCCTCTAGGAATACAGTGTATACAGGTGGAGCCAAGCCGTGGAACACAGACCTATAGCCTTGCACATGCATGCTGTCTCAGGGTGCAGAGCCCCAGGCACCTCCCTTGCAGTGAGTGCTGGAAACAGCTGGAGCACAGAATCCCAGTCGTAATTCTTCCCTCACAGCTTTGCTGATGCCGCACTTGATTTCTGTACTCCGTGCATGTGTGGATGCAGGAGAATGGTCTCAGGTCAGTCAGTTCTCTGCTGACCACGAATGAGATGAAGCCAGCTGGTGCAGTTGCCCTCTGGTCTGTGCCTTTTCATCCTTAGCCAACCTTTGAATATGGGGAGGAAAAAATTGCCTGTACTGAATGTGTCCAGATTGTCTTTTTTGTCCATGTTACAATACAGTGTAACACGTACTTACATTTGCCTTATACACAATATCTCAATATTACAGGCAATTTAGAAATGATTTACAGTACACAGAGGACATGCATGTTTTGTGCAGATAAGAGACTCCAGAATCATCAGATTTGGGTATCTGTGGAGGCCCTGGAACCAATCCCTGGTATAACAGGGATGGTTATCAAGATAGAGAGGTCTCCACCTTATGTGTCATTCTCTCCCAGTTCCCATGTGCTCAAAGAATTATTTTTAGCATGTGTATGTGGCATGTGCCTGTATGTTTACATACAGAAGGGCATGTGCTATGTGCATATATGTGCATGCATGTGGAGGCCCAGAGCTGACATCAGATGACTTCCTGTCTCAGTCACTCTGCATTTTATATATCAAGGTGAGGGCTCTCATTTAAACCTAGAGCTTGCTGGTATGGCTTGTCTAACCAGCTTGTTCCATCTCTGCTTCCCCAGTCATCGGATTACGGAGGGGCCATGCTGGCCTGGCTTTTTTGACGTGTTCTGGAGATCTATGGCCAGTACTTTGCCCTCTGAGACATCTCCCCAGCCCTGTGGTCATATAACTTAATATCCTTTTTTTCTCTGTGTGTTTGAAGTTGTCTTAATTCCAGGGACTTTTTTTGTCTTTCCCTGTTCACCCCAAATAAAAGGTATTTAAGTGTCTAGAATGTACTCAGTATTAATAAAAGCAAAGGAAGGAAAATTAAGACATTATGGCCAGTCTTTATGTTCCACTACAATGTCAGTAGGAACAATTAAAATTCAGAGTCATGATTCTGAAGAGTCTCAGCATCCAGCACAACACATTCCTGTTTGCTGTGGAGGCAGAGTGCTAAGTGCTGATGTTCTCTGTGATCAAATGGTAGCTGAGCTTTCTCCCGCCAATTAGGAATAAATGCACCAAACACAGTAATTCAAGAATTGCATGAATACCGCCAGTAGGCAAGACAGCTCAACGGGTAAAGGCACGTGCCACCAAGCCTCACGACGTGAGTTCAATCCCAGGGACCACATGTAGAGAGCCAACTCCTTCAAGTTGTCCTCTGGCCTCTGCGCATTCCGTGACACACATACAGCCCCTCAATATACTAAAAATCTTTTGAAAAAAGAATTGTATGGACATATTCAGAAAGCCTAAAATTTCTTAACATCGTAATTTAACCAAACAGTTCAACTACCTGTTACATACAAACTATTGATGTTTGCCAATAATTGTGCTGCTGTCTTAAGAGAGCTAAAGGTCAACCCAGGATTATTGAAATGGTTACAGCAGTTTTCAGGGGGCGGGCTGGATAGACGACACACTGGTTAAGAGCACTGACTGCTCTTGTAGAGGACCTGGGTTCGATTACCAGCACCCACATGGCAGCAAACAACCATCCTTATTCCAGAGGATCTGACCCCCTCTTGTGGCCTCTGCAGGCACTGCATTCAAGGATGCACTTACATACATACAGGCAAAACACTACACACGTAAAATCAAAATACACAAATTTCAAATGGTTCTGGCAATTTTTAAAATTAGGCTGATGCTGAGGTGGGGTCTATCACCCCACATGGCACCCACCATTCCAGAGCTGCCCTACTGTACCTACTGCAGAGCACTGCACTCTCCACCTGACACACTTCAGAAACCACTAGAAATCTTGTAGCAATTCAGAAGGTATTAGCCTAGATTCTAAACAGACCTTCAAAATACTTTTCTTGCACTTTATAAAAGGATTATAGGTCCACCGAAAGTGAATGCTTTGTTTATGAAGATAGGGAGTGAAATTTGAAAACTTAAAAGCTACACATTTCAGGATTCGTACAGAAAGCGTTCACTGGGCCATTTGAATGAAGAGAGCTCCGAGCCGAGCAGCTTGGAGGAGCCCCTTAGCTGGGGAGCACGGTGCTACTGAGCATGCACTGGGCATTCAAACACGTTTGGTGGGCGCGCGGTGAGCCTGTTGAAGAAGTGGGTTACATGTAAGAGTGAAATGTATCTTGGTGGGAGGAAAGAGGCATTGGACTAGATTTGGCCCTCATAGAAAAGAGTACGGATGCCATTCATCCTCCATGATTTGAACAGACATGTCCTTGGGACCCCGGGAAGGTTCTGTCTCACAAAATTCAAGCTAAAAGGTGGAAATTTTGTCCAATCGTCAGCGTGTCTTTGTTCTGTTGTGTGAAGTTACTGGGGTTCTGTGTTCTCTATTTTCAGGTGGTTAGATGATGCTATCATTGATGAGATCACTCCCAAGCTGATCGGGGACAGGCCCAATACCTACACCTATACCAAGGCCTTGGGAGAGATGGTGATCCACCAAGAGAGCGGAAACCTGAATGTCGCCATCATCAGGCCCTCCATCGTGGGAGCATCCTGGCAGGAGCCTTTCCCAGTGAGCCCACTGCCGCTCCCTGCCATGCTGCAGGCCAGCCTCCCTCACGCCCAGCTTCCTCCTGGTGCTCCATCACCACCTCCTCCCCTCCTCCTGCTCTTCCTCGTCTTCTCCTCTTTCCTGTCTTTCCTCCTCCTCCCCCTCCTATTCCTCTGAATGTACAGCTAGGTGCAAGTCAAGCATAAAGCTCTTACACTATGGAAAACCCCACATTTGGCTCGGGGTTCATCCAGTAGGAGGCTCCTTTGGGAGTTACAGTGGCCGCCCTAGAACTGGGTGGAGATCTTATGAAAGTCCTAACTCCAGATTCAGAATTCCCAGGGGAGGCAGTTTAAGTACTTGGTTTTCTCATTATTGTTCAAATATACCAGAATGTTCTTTATGACCAGTTGGGCAGTGCTGCAAGTGCTAGGGTAAACGAGGTCACGATGCTACTCCTTAGTTTAGGAATAATGTCTTGGATCTGTATGCTGCTACTTCCTGCTTAAAAGTACTTTGAGTCATACTATCTTCTCAGAGCATCTCTCTGAAGCTTCAAGGCCATGTAAATACAGGACACTTACATAAACACAGCACAGCCCTTGAGTGGCCTTGTCCCTTAATCTGGGCCATTATGTCTCACTTTGGAGAACTGATTAAACGAGACAATGTTCAAGTGGTGTTTTATGTACAGCCTGGCCCCTTAATATCAGACCCTTTCATCTCCTATTACACACACACACACACACACACACACACACACACACATTTAGCCTTTACAGATAAAGCAGCTATAAGGTCAGCTGACCTGTGTAGGGCTCAAAAGACACCTTGTACCCACCCATTCTTAGCATAAGGCACACACAAACACAGCAGAAAAACCAAATGGTAACCGTGGGCAAGGCAGCACACACTTGTAAGCTCAGCACACAGGAGCATGAGGCAGGAGTAGCATGAATTCGGGGGAATGTGTGTGTTACAGGTTCAAAAATTGTTAGACATGAGTAAATACTACTACTCATGTTTGAAATACTTTTAGTGTGTGTGACTCCCCATGGAGAGCAGAAGTGGGTCCCTGGAGCTGAAATTACAGGCATTTCTGAGTTGCCTGATGTGGGTGCTGAGGACCAAACCCAGGTCCTCTGGTAAGAGCAGGACGCACCTGTAATCACTGAGCCATCTCTCCAGAGCCCTGAAATGTTCTACAGGAGCTTAAATCAAACCTTGAGTGGAGAACAATTGTGTTTGATGAACTAGTTAGATTGTGACAAAAATCTGGATCAGTGTAGCCCATGAGATGGTGTAGAACAGGGAGCCCCTGCACCTCCTGCTGTGAAAAATCGGTGCAGGCAAAATCTGGTATCTTGCAGTTGGGGGTTCAAGCAGAAAAGAGCCAGTGCTGTGCTGCTGACCTGTAGTGTCACAGGAATATCTGATTGGTTACCTCTGTTGCCTGGGGTCTCAGGGCTCTTGTTTGAAACTCTTCAGATAAGAGTGCAGGGGCTGAGATGGCTCAGTCAGCAAGGTGCAGCCATGCATGAGGACCTGAGTCTCGATCCCCAGCACCATGCAGAAGTCTGGGATTGGCTCTGACCCAGCACTGCAATAGGCAGCTGGACAGCCAGCACTGCCAAACTGGTGACCTCCAGGTTCAGTGAGAAACCCTGCCTCAGGAAAGGTGCCGAGATCCACCGCAGGCCTCCACACACGGGCACACGATTGGTTTGTAACGGGTAACGGGTAACAGTTCCTGGAATGTGTAACCAGCAGAGGTCCCTTTTCCAGGGTTGGATTGACAACATAAATGGACCCAGCGGGCTCATCATTGCGGTACGTATACTGACGGTAAAGAAACCCCTTGATGGGACGGAGAGATGCTCAGTAGTCAAGATCACTGGCTGCTCTTGCAGAGGACCGGGGTTTGATTTCTAGGACCTACATGGCAGCTAACAACCATCCACAACTCCAGTTCCCGGGAATCCCACACCCTTTTCTGTCCTCCATGGACATTGCATGACATGGGTGCACTTACATACATGCAGGCAGTACACTCATATGATTAAAATAAAATGAAATAAAATAAAATAAAATAAAAGCCCTTGAAAGTGAGGTGTCAGCGGAAGCCTCCTTGATCCGGAAACATGGGCGTGAGGACTGAGGCAGCTATTCTAGCGTTTACAGACTGGAAAACAGAGACGCGGAAGTTACGTTTTATTTCCAGGACATCGCGATCATGTGACATACCCAGCTGTGTTTGTATTTTGAAAATGTTTGACCAAAAAAATTCCTTTCGTTATCACAAGATGGGGTATTTCTTTTTCATTGTTTCGTTAAGGACTTGAATTAGTTCAATTCCAGCATGCAGTAAAAATCTTTGCCTCAAGGGCTGGGGATGGGGCTAGGTTAGTAGAAAGCTAGGCCTAGCATGCAGGAAACCCTGGGTTTGATCCCCAGCACTGTAACAAACTGCGTGTGGTGGCACATGCCTGTAATCCCAGAGGAAAGGCAGAAAGATCAGAAATTCAAGACCAGCCTAGCTACATAGCAAATCCAAGGTCAGCCTGGGCTACATGAGCCCCTGTCTTTAAAAAAAAAAAAAAGAAAAGCTAGATGTTAAAATAAGCAAGGCTGTGGGTGTTTCTGAATTCTGATTTTCCTTGCGGTCCTTTATGTGTGCTGTTTGTACCTCTTCTCCTGACAGTTTAGTTGGGGAGGAACATAATTTTAACATGAGCTAGGATGTATTTCAATATATTGTAAACCAGCACAGACTCAAATTTCCCAACACTGCCCTGCCCCACCAAAGGATTTATATATGCAAAGAATAGGAACTAGTTGCAATGAAAATATATTAGGAACATAAACTGGTCAGTGTTGCAAGCCATTGTTGGAAACATGCTAAGTGTGAAGGCAGCATTAACATTAATATAAAAAATCCATGGGGCTGAAGAGTTGGCTCAGCAGTTAAGAGCACTGGCTGCTCTTGCGGAGGACTTGGGTTCGATTCCCAGCACTCACATGGTGGCTACAAACCGTCCTTCACCCCAGTTCCAGGGGACTCTGAAGCTCTCTTCTGACCTCCATGACATTGCACGACACGGGTACACTCACATACATGCAGGCAATACACTCATACATGTAAAATAAAATTTTTTTGAAAAGAACCATAGGTTTTCCCCAAATAAAACTTTTTGTTCTATTTATCATGTAATGTTTTTCAAATACATTTTAAACTTTGGTACCTTTCACTTTTAAACTCAGATCATTTATGGGGACTGGAGATGGCTCAGCAGCTAAGAGGACATACTTCTATTGCAAAGGACCTGAGTTCAGTTTCCAGTACCCAAGCTGTATGTCACAACTGCCTGGAACTCCAGCTTTGGGGATCTGACACCTCAGCCTCTGCGGGCACCTGCACTCATGTGCACACACACGAAATTAATTCAAGATAAAATACTTTTAAAACCATTTACAAAGTGAAATGAATCATTTTTAAGACATGAAATCCTCTTCCTCTCACAAACTTGAACTTTATTCCCTAAAGGAGCCTGAGCCACTTAGTGATGCATAGAAATGTTGGCACATCAATGAACTTGGCTGGGAAGACAGGACCAATTGGGAGGAGGGCTTACTCCAGTGTCCTAGTGTGCTAGAGCTTCCTTTGTCAACCTAACACACCTGGGAAGGAGCCTCAATTGGGGAATTGCTTCCATTGGACTCGCCTGTGGGCATGTCTGGGGGGCATTTTCTTGATGGCTGAGTCATAACTGGAGGGCCCAGCTCACTATGGGCATTGCCACTAAGCAGCATTCCTCCATGGTCTGTGCCCCAGGTTCCTGAGTTTGTACATTGGCACCCTTGGTGATGAACTGGGAGATGTAAGATAAACCCTTTCTTCCCCAAGTTGGTATTGGTCAGTGTTTTGTGACAGCACCCTGTCGTTGCTGACTTCACACCTGTTCTGTGTTTTACATTCTCTGGCCTGAACAGAGTGGAAAAGGATTTCTCCGGTCCCTAAGAGCGACTCCCATGGCGATAGCAGATGTCATCCCAGTTGACACGGTTGTCAATCTCACCATCGCAGTAGGATGGTACACCGCGGTCCACAGGTAGACACTGATGCAGGCTCTGGGGGATAGGGAGGAGGGTGAAGGCGTCAGTCACGTTACAACCCACGAGACTTCAAAGGGGGTTTGTTCCAGTAGTTCACGTAAGTCCCACTGCACCTTCCTGTACAGACCAAGTTGTATGAACACTGCTTAGCACTCGGTGACTCATAAAGTAATTTACCGTTGGAATCGCATAACCATAGATTTTTTTTTGATAACTAAAAACTTAGTATGTTAAAATGCAGGTTCTATACTGAGGAAAAGGGGTGAGAGTGGAGGAGATGGCAACATCATCTGTGTTTTGTTTAATGGCTCGGTTCTGGGAAATGCCAAGAGGTCAGACTGGAACATTTTCTAATATAGAGAAAAAGTTCCCCTGCTTGTGCGTTTGGCTCTGTTCATAAATGGTAAGAATAAAAACGTTCTCACGTGAACTCAGGCATGTGTGTTGCACAGGAGCCTGTTCATCTTCCACATACATACCCACACAGGTGTACACATACATACATGCAGGTTGCTCACACGTGCACACACAGAAGTGCATATACACGTGCACACCCACACAGGTTGCTCACATGTGCGCACACAGAAGTGCATATACACGTGCACACCCACACAGGTGTACACATACATACACACAGCTTGCTCACACGTGCACACAGAAGTGCATACACACATGCACACCCACACGCACACTTTTTCCATTTTTTTTTCCTATCAACCCAAAAAAGAACAAAAAAAAAGTGCCAGGCAGATAGCAGTGGCCACAGGAGCTTGAAACCCCCTCTCGGTCTCGGTCCCTTTCCTCGTGGGTCGCTGGCCACCGCTCCATGAGGACAAAGGGAGCAGAAGTGACAAGAGGGGTTGGGATGGCCAGTGAGCAGTGACGGAAGAAAGCCCTTCCGGGGAGGCAGGTTCAGTGATACAAACAGCTCCAGACTCAGTGAAAAGCTCCGTTTATTCGAAAATATATAGTGTGGAGGCAGCAGCCAAAGCTTCAGCTGATAGGTGCTCATAGTATGCTTTATTTACATGTGGCAGTGGGCTCCTATCGCCCGACTACCAGGCAATGCCTGATTACCATATAGAAAAAACCTGGGGGTAGTTTTTACTCCAGGTAACTATACCAAAGATCATGTTCCAAATAAGGTCAGGCATCTGTCCTTGGTGGCACTTTCCAGGTAAGTCCAGCAGAGAGCAGGGGGCCTCCTGCTGAGAAGGGGAGTCCTTCCATATGGCGCCGAGCCCCTTAGAGCTATCCGGACATGGAGGACTACAACCCTAGCAGCAGGGTTCCCCAACAATCTTCTCTTACATCAGTTACCCACTCTGTTCTATTTATTTCTCTTCCAGACCTAAATCAACATTAATCTACCACTCCACATCTGGTAATCTCAACCCCTGTCTCTGGCATGACATGGGTAAGTGCCTTTGCCTGGGGAAAGCAGCAGGTCATGGAGTGCAGAAGTAGGGGAGAACCATGGAAAACAGTGGCGATGAAACTGCTGCCAAGACATGTCAGTTAACCTGGGTCATACAGTGGCATGAGGAAAGCAGTCAGGGACACATGAATGTTGTAGGATCAAGGGTCCATGTAGAGATTTCAAACAGAGAAACAGAGCAGAGGTCACAACTGGGAAAGTCAGGGACATCAAGCTGCTCCTCTGTTCTGCCCGCTGCACACATCCTTCCTCTGCTCCATTTCTGGGCATGACATGATGATCAACTGAGATTGAGGTGTCAGCCTTCCTCACCCACTTCTGCAGCCCGCCTTCCGCACGTGCAGCAAGTGTGACTGAAACAGTCTTGCTGACAATGAATCTTGTATACTCGGGAAACCTGCTGGCCCATGGTGCACCCCTTTGTCAACTTAGGAGTTGATTTTCTTGCTAAACTGTGAAGTTTTAGATCACTGAAATGTAGTTTAGGCACCATTTTTTTAAAAAAGGAATTTAGTTAGAACTTGATTCTCAGAGCTCTCTGCTATGCTATTCTGCTGCCAAAGCTCTTTCCTCAGTAAACACACTACTAGAATCAAAGCTCTTTAGGTAAACCATTTAGATCATATATTGTCACTCAGAAATCATTCTAAAATAACACCTTTTTTACATCAGTGATAGAATCTAAGATACCACCCATATAAACATAAGTAAACAAGATATTGCAAGCACAGAGCTGGAGAATTCGGTCATCAAGAGCACACACTGCTCTTTCAGAGGACCTGAGTTCAGTTCCAGCACCCACACCAGACAGTAACTCCAGCTCCAGGTATCTGGCGTCCACTTCTGGCATCTTCAGGTACCTGCACTTGTGCACACATGCCCCCAAATGGATACATAATTAAAAATATTTTAAAACCGAGCTCAGAAGATGTAGTGTTTTAAACATATTGTAGAGGCTGGAGAGATGATTCAGTGGTTAAGAGCACTGGCTGCTCTTACAGAGGATCTGGGTTTGGTTCCCAGCACCCACATGGCAGGTAACAACCATTCACAACTCCAGGTCCAGGGAATGCCCTCTTGTGCCCTCTGCAAGCACTGCAATGACAGAGGTGCACATGTAAGTACATGCAGACAAAACAGTCATACACATGAAAATAAGATATTGTAAACTCTTTAAAAGAGTTACTAAATTTCATGTGTATGAGTGTTTTGCCTACATTTATGCATGTGCATCACATGCTTAAGTGGCCAGGGAGGCCAGAAGAGGGTGTCAGATCCCCAGTTTCTGGAGTTACAGATGGTCGTTAGCTACCAGGTGGGTGCTGGGAACTGAACTCCTCTGGAAAAGCAGCTAGTGCTCTTAACTCCGATCTCTCCCGCCAGTTCCCATCAGATTCTTGACATCACACAACAAATGCTTGTCTATCATTCTGACCCACTGCACATTCTTTCTGCTTTCAAGGGCTTGTGGCCTTTAAGGCTTAGTATTTACTCTTTTCGTTTCCAGGATTAAAAGTCTTGGCAGCTTTTGAAAAAATCCCATTTGAGCGTGCATTCAGAAGGCCATATGTTGACTTCACAACCAACAACTTCACCACTCAGTACTGGAATGCAGTCAGCCACTGGGCCCCAGCCATCATCTATGACTTTTATCTGAGGCTTACTGGAAGGAAACCCAGGTGAGAAGCTGGGGCCCTGGTTTTAATAGTGTTGCTATGTGGGTCCCAAAGATTTTAACCCTTCCACAGCTGAGGATCAGAGATAAATGTGTCTGTCTGTCTGTCTGTCTCTCTCTCTCACACACACACTCATATGTGCATCCTCACATACACACACAAGCCATAAACCACTGCTACTCAAAAAGGCCTCAAAAATAATAAAGATAATGTTAGGGAACATGCTGTTGTCCTCTTAGGGAGTCCCAGGTCAGTGAGAGACACTGTCTCAAAAACCAAGAGTGGATGAACCCCACCTGTGGCCTCTGCACATGTACACCTGCACACACACTCACAAGCAGAAACATAGTTAGCAGTCTTGTTCACCGAGTGCTTGTCATCCGACCATCCTGGAGCAAGGATAACACATGATGGTCCAATTCGTACACTCACATCTCAAGTGAGACACCTTCATCGCCCCAACTGTACAACTGAGAAGTGAAGGGCAGACTCTGAACGTTCTCAGAACTGACTGTGAAGGGAGCACAGTGCACCTCACAGTCACCACTACCAGTGAACTGGATTCCCTGACACCTAGAGATGCTTGAACGGGGCAGTTGGGGAGCTAAGATGGCTGTCACCACTTAGCAGTGACAAAGTACATGTCCCTCTGTCTCCATCCTAAGATTTAGTGACTGTCTCTACCAGAGGCAGTTTCTGTTGTCAGCATCTGAATACAACAAAACTGGCCCTTTGTGGAGGTGGGAGGCCTTGGTAGGCATGTTTCCTGTGTCAACACAGCAAGGGACTGAACCTGAGGCCATGTGGGTCCCCCAGCCTCTCATCAAGTTCGGTAGGCTCTTACACTCCTTGGGAAGGGAGAAGAGGCATTGTGGGTGTGAGCAGACATCTGTTGTGTGGGTGTTCTTAAATACAGAGAGGGCAAAAGCGAAAACTAAGCACTAGACAGAAATTCTAAATCCTTTAAAATAGGGCCTGGAAAAAGAGCAAAGTTTGGTGAGCAAGAGAGAAAACCAAAACATGATAAAAATCAGTATGCATCTTGTGAGAAATTAAACCATGCTGCGGTGGGCAAATAATTTAGTTTTCTGTGATTTTTTTAACATTTGTGCGTGCAGGTTGGAGGACAGCATCCGAGAATATGCAATAAAAAGAAATTCCTGCTCTTATTTTTAAAAGACGAAGTATTTCCTTAAGGATGAGTAACCTGCTGTTTCAAAATGTCTGCTACTCTTGGCAATGGGTGTCTGGTGGGATGTAAAATGTCTGCCGTAAGATCTGTTAGGATCCACATCCCCGTTCCTTCAACAGAATTAAAATGCAGTAAGAATTCTAACGAGGAACTAGAGGAAAGTGGGATACATTTTGTATTTCCTTTTCTTTCTGAGATAGGGTTTTTACCAGCCAGGGACTATGTAGTCCTGGCTGGTCTTGAGCTCCTAACAATCTTGCCTCCTAAGTGCTGTGATTAGAGGCGTGAGCTGCCACCAGGACTTGTATTTTAAGAATGCTTGGTCCTCTTTCCCTGGAGAGGGGGTGGTGGCCATGGTAGTCACACTGGCTCCCTTGTGTCTCCTCAGGATGTTGAAACTCATGAATCGGCTCCTGAGAACCATTTCCATGCTGGAGTATTTCATCAACCACAGCTGGGAATGGAGCACAAACAACACAGAGATGCTGCTGTCAGAGCTGAGTCCTGAGGACCAGAGAGTAAGTATGGCCAAGCCCGGTAGTGCTGAGCACCACACTGCCTGGGAACTGCAGAACCATGTGACCAGTAACACAATGGGGAGAGCTGGTTAGAGACTGGTGTTTGAGCCTGAGAAAATCGGGTGACATCAGCACCCATGGGAAACAGGTTCAGGAGGTAAGACAGCTTGTGGACTGTGGCGGCACACCACCGTAACCCACGTGCCAGGGAGCTAGCCAAATGGGTGACCTCTGGGTGTGGAGAGCAACACAGAAGACACACAGCATCAACTTCTGGCCTCCACATGCCTGCACTGTCGAGTGCACCTGCACACGTGTGTACACAGACATCACACACGAATGCCCAAATAGAAAATGCAAGATCCTGCTGAGCTGCTGCAGTTTCAGCAAAGGGGCAGAGGTAACAGGAAAGCGTACTGGGCACAGGAGAAGGTAGACCAGTATTCCAAGAGGGGGCAAACTCCCGTGGAAATGCCCTGAAGGGGCCCTAAAGACTTAAGGGAAATACTAGGCGACATGTCTGAAGCAAACACAGTAACTGCTTTAAAAGTTGAGAGGATCAACCACAGTCACTAGGGATCGGCAAAGGGCGTGCTCATTAAATGAGTATCCACTGAATATTCCCGGTAAATGGAGACCAAGTGTCCGCCTCCCTCTCAGTCACAGGAGCCACTTTTCGTTGCTGTGATAAAACACCGTAATAAAGACAACTCGTGGAGAGTTAGAGTTTATTTGGGCTCATGCTCCCAGAGGGAATGTGGCAGGCTTGCTGACAGGAGGAGGCTGAGGGCTCCCATCTCCAACAGCGAAGGCAGGTTCAAGGTGGGAGCAGGCTCTGAACGCTCCCAGTGATGTGCTTCCTCCTGAAGGGCCCATGACCTCCCAGAGAGCACCACCAACTGGGGGCCATCTCATTCAAACTACCACCCAGGTCTAACACGGCCAACACTTCATTAGCCTAAGAAGAGGGCAGAATTACACAGTCCTGGAGAACCACTGAATCTTTAAGGGGTCAAATTCAATGGTGGCACTGGAGAGACTGCTCAGCTGTTAACACTGGCTGCCCGTCCAGAGGACCCAGGTTTGGTTCCCAGCACTCTCACCTGGCAGCTAACAATCATCGTTAACTGCAGTTCCAGGGGACCAAACCCTCTGCCTGACACAGGTACACTTACACTTAAAAAAAAAAAAAACCTCAGTGACACTCCCTACAATTTAATATTGAGGGAAAAGACCTAACCAAAAAAGTAAGATGCAAGTTAAACTAGAAACCCAAGACGGTCAGAAAGAACAGGATAGTCTTTTAAAGCCAGTAACACACTTCAGCATTGACTGGCTTTCACCATTCTTTGTCTATTTGGTATAATCTAAGCCACTATCTTTACTCCAGCTATCTGAAAAAAAGGGAACTAGTTTATTTTTTTAAATATTTTGTATTTCCTCCATGTGTGTAAGTGCACCTGTGTCGCACAATGCCCAAGAGGTCAGAAGAGAGCGTCAGATCCCCTGGAACTGGAGTTATGCATGGTTGTTAGCTGCCATGTGGGTGCTGGTAACCAAACCTAGGTTCTCTAAAGAGCGGCCAGTGCTCTTAACCACTGAGCCCCAGAACATCTAATCAAGTAGAGATAAAATTTTTTCTTTCCATTTTTAAGTTTATGCTCTTTTGGGGGAGGGGTGTCATACCTGGAACACACTACAGAGCCCAGGCCTCAATCTCAGAGATCCACCCACCTCTGCCTCCCAAGTGCAAGGGTTAAAGATATGCACCACCACATCTGGCAAGTTGAACACTTTCCACAGCCCAGTCTTTTTCACCAACGCTGCCTTTAGGGTTTCCGCTAACCCGTGAGTAACGTTTTGCTTCCGTTTTGTTGTCACTGCATAATAAAACGGTCATGTTCTGAGAGCTGAGAAGTGGGAAGGTCAGCCAAGGACACAGTTAGGAGACAGATGCACAACCTATGTGCAGGTCACTACGAAGAATGATGACTCCTCATTTTTTTGACAAGGTACCCCCAGCCAATCACAAGCTTGCGGCAAAGTACTACTTCCTCTGTGCAGGCCCTCTCATGCAAACCACTGGCTTGAATACATTGAAAACTACGTTTTGGGAATTAAGAAATACCTACTGAAAGAGGACCTGGCTGGGATCCCCAAAGCAAAGGAGCACCTAAGAAGGTAAGCCTGATCACTTGGTCATCTCTGAGGCGGCTACTATGAGACCGACTGCACCACTAGTACATTTTTTACACCAATGGGTAAGGGGGATTCATCTCAGGAAGCATTTATATAGCACTGGTTGTGGGACTGACTTCATAGCGTCTTGTGTGTGGGGGGGGTTACAGTACTTTGCCCTGCATGTCCAAGGCAGATTATGGTTATTCCATTATTACACAAGTATTTAGGCTCAAAGAGCACGTTTGTTAACCTCTGGCACACCCTCAGAAGGACCCCCAAAAGGCAGTCATGCTACCTAAGCTAGGAAAACCACGTCCCTCCTCCTCCCTTAAAACTCCTGAAATGAAAACCTTGTAACATGCAGGTCAGGGTTTCAGCAAAGGGGGGTCTGTAGCAGGGATCGGACCAGGGTGAGAGCAGCACAGCAGGAGTTGTAAAAGCAGGCAAGGGGCTCAGTCTAACCTCCAGGCAGCAAGACAAGAAGGGCAAGTGTGGAGGTGGCAGGACAGCTGTGTGGAGTCGATACTCTTCCACCTTTGCATAGACTCCAGGGACCGAACACAGGTTCTCAGGCTTGCTTGGACAGTGCTTTACCCAGCTACCTCCCTTGATATTGTAAAGCGAAGCTTTTCTATTTTTTGGTCTTTTTGAGACAGGGTCTCCGTGCAGCCCAGCTGGCCTCGAACTCAGAGATCCGCCTGCCTCCTGAGTGCTGGGATTAAAGGCATGCGCCACTACATCAGTCATGGCTGTAAAATAGCTTCCATTAGAGACCTGACTGCCAGTAGCTAGCTGGGGAGATGCGGAAACCCTGTTAGGGCAGAACGCCGTGGACATGGCAGACGAGAGCACGGAGTCATCAACAGGACACAACTGGGTGTGGGTGGTCTCACCTGTGCTTGTCTCCACTGCAGGCTCCGGAACATTCACTACCTCTTCAACACAGCACTCTTCCTCATCGTCTGGCGCCTCCTCATCGCCAGGTCTCAGACGGCTCGCAATGTTTGGTTCCTCATCATGAGCTTCTGTTACAAGTTCCTCTCCTACTTCCGGGCCTCCAGTGCGCTCAAGGTCTAAGGACATGCCACCAGCCCGTCCCCTGCAGCCTGCCCTCTCAGGCAGGAACCCAAGTCTCCAGCTAGGAGGTAACGAGGGGCTCGTCCAGCACCAAACTTCCCGTCTTCATCCTCCTTCACTGTTGCTTCAGTGAGGAGGAAAGGCGCAGTCCAACCGCACATTTAGAAAAAGCAAGTTCCACATTATGTCCTGCCATTGCACTCGTGGCATGAGGGCACTCCCGTCTTCCTCTAGCCTTTCCCTTCTGACAGGGCTCATTTCAGCTCCTTAAGCATGGAGAACACACGGCCGAATCCCAAACAGACAGCACTGTCCAGGGAACCGTGCTGGGCACCCCGGAAAAACGCTTGAGCCACGATTAGTGGATCGGTGCTGTCGAACAGCCCCAAGGAAAGTGCCTGCCTTCCGTCCTAGACCTTAGAGCCGCACTGGGGCTGGGCGAAGTGGGCTCATGCCTCAGTTTCTCACCTGCATCCACTTATAAAGGGTAAATCATCACACAAAATGAAAACTTGAGCAGATCCACATCAGGAAATGTTACATGCTTTTAAGTCAAAGTTTATAGCTTCCCATTTTCCTGAAAGTTCCCCCGAGTTTCCTTCTTATTCATTAATGCTGCCAAAGTTCTTATGCTAAGCTGACTTCACTCAGACCTCAATCTTCAAGGCTGATAGGGAGAAGTTCCTAGACTAGAATCATGAAAACCCAGCAACCGGATCATTGCCAGTGAGGAAAGCTTACCTGAGGACTCTTGGTATCTCAGTCATTCCTATCATACATTAATTGTTCAACGTAGAGTTCAAAGGTGAAATGGGTGGAGATTTTTGCTTAAAACATTTCAGCTAAAATAATAAGCTGTTACTCTGCTTTCCTCGTTATTTGAGGTGAGGGTGTCTGGGACTGCAGATCTCTGCATGCTAAAAACATGAGCTATTAATCCAACACAGTATCTGGGAAACCACACACTGTGCTTGCACGCTGGCAGCTGACGTGTACAGGCCTTGGGTAGCATCCAGCCCAGTACCAAAGGTCTCCTGAGCTCCCTGAGGAGCAGCTGAGCCTTTCTGGTAATTAGGATCAAGGGACTACTTTCCAGGCAGTCAACTCTGAAACAAAGCACCTGGTCTTTGAGATTTCTTCATTGCACAAGAGAGGCCAACTATGGATACAAAAGATGAAGTCAAGATAGAGGACTGAAACAGGACCAATGGTTTACCACCTGCAGATCACTGTTTCATCAATTCAAGAAGTCCACAGTTTGAGCTTGAACTTCTGATGAAATAAAACTTTGAATTACCGACTCTCATTTGCAGTGCTGTCTTATCTACTCCCCACAACCCTCACAGGAAAAAAGGCGCTCATCTCAGAACTCTTCCCACTAAATCAGGTCACACGAACAGCTAGGGAGACACAAGGTGCACACTGCTGCTGAGCGTTATGACACAGCCGAGTCAGGGACAGCAGACACCATGCAGAAGTAGTCCCTGACTCCTTACAGGTGCAGAGATACAAGTGCAAAGTTGTAAGAAGCAGTCTCAGAAAAGGGAGGAGTATGATCAAAACACTTTCTGTGTGGAAAATGGCAAAATGAAACCCATTATTTTTACTAACATATAAAACTTTACAAAGGCTTGGCAATCCCTAGTCTGTACCCACAGATACCTGACACAGTACTGACCAGTCAGACAGGTGAGAGCACATGTCAAGGGAAACATTTCCCTACTCTGCACGCGCTCTATTACCTCACTGGAGTCATTCAGAACCTTGAGGAAAGCAAAGAACCACCAAATACTGTTCTCAAAGGACAGAAGAGTGAAATCACAGCAGCAAAGTCTCCAAAATCATCACTAACTTCCAGTTCACAAGACCACCACTCTAGAAACACGACTTTAGTATCTGGGGCACACGCCAGCAGCGAGCAGGTGGCGTCAGACTCACACCCCCACACCCCCTCAGAAGTGCAAAGAATTACTGCCTAGATCACCTTTGAAAACATATTTTTAAAAAGTTAACAAAATAAGCCAGGTATGGTGAGCACGCATTTAATCCTAGCACTCAGATCTGAGTCTGAGGCCACTGTGGTCTACTGAGGGAGTTCCAGGCCAGCTGGGGCTACAGGGAGACCCTTTCTCAAAAAGACCAAAATATAAATAAAACTAGCAACACCTAGATTTCAGATGCAGCATGAGAGGTGCGGCCACTTCTGTGGCAAAGGGCACGGGTATACTTACACGCAGGCAATACACTCACACAAAAAATAACAGATTGTAAATTGTGTTAAAGATTACAATTTTGGGGCTGGAGAGGTGGCTGTGGTTAAGAGCACTGGCTGCTCTTGCAGAGGACCCGGGTTCAATTCCCAGCACCCACGTGGTGGCTAACAACCATCTGTAACTCCAGCTCCAGAGGCTCCGACACCCTCTTCTGACCTTCCTGGGCATCATACGACACAGGTGCACTTACATGCAGTCAATACACTCATACAATAAAAATAATTTTTTTTAAAAATTGGTCTGAGACAGGGTCTCCCTGTAGCCCCAGCTGGCCTGGAACTCACAGAGATCCACCTGCCTCTGCTTCCAGACTGCTGGGACTAAAGGTGTGTCCCATCATCCCTGGCAAAGATTACAAATCCTGGTCATAAAAAACAGCTTTCTATGTGTGTGAGAGAAAAATATGAGGAAAGACCTTTACTCACCTGGGCGGAGAACCAAAGCAAATTTGCAGCTCTAATGCGGAGCGTCGTCTGCAGGGGCGGGCAGGCATTTATAAACACTAACAGTAATTTCCTGACCTAGCCATTTAACTGTCTTTATAGGTCAAGGAACACAAACATGGTATAAAAGTACATTTCAAATAGTCTGAGGCCTCACACTAAAACATGAAGGCTGGCACACACACACACACACACACACTCTCTCTCTCTCTCACTACATGAAATGAGAAGGACTGGACACAGAAACACTCATTACCTGCTCCAGGGAGACGCGGGCACAGGGGAAGCTGCCTAAGCATCAGGTGATCTCTGTGCTGGGACGGGAGCTGCTGAGTTCAAACACTCTTAACACATGGCATGTGGGTGCCACCAACACCTGGACAGCTGGCCACAATTCTGATTCTTTACTGGCAAAAACATGACTCTATTTAAAGATGGAAATCTTTAACTTTTAAAATGGAAATCAATGCCAAACAGAATTTTGCTTAAAGAAATTCCTATAGAGTCACTTTTAATGGAAAAGATACATCTCAAAAAAATTTTAATGTGGTTCTTAGAAAACATGGAAATAAAAAAATTTTAAATGTTTGAAAGATATTTTAATCCTCAAAGTAATTCTGAATCAGTTTTTCTTCCCTGAACCCTGACTGAATTTCCTAACAAGTAGACTTGGAAGACTATGTTCAGTTTCAAGTATCTAAAATTCTAATTGTTTTGGAGAGATGCATGTTTCTAGTCAAACAATAAAATTCAAGAAAAAAAACAAAACGAAAACCTCAGGTGGGTCATTCATTACTTGAAATTCCCCGGACTCATTCAAAAATTTTAGAACATAATATTACATTATTAGTCAGTTACTCTTACAACTCTTAATGATACTGCATATTTTAACCAAGAACATTATTTTCTGCAAAATGCCATTCTCCATAAATCTGACTGCCAAGAATTTTGTCATGGCTCCTCTTGCCCTCCAGGACTGTCTACCCTCTTCTCAAGAAAGCATTTTTTTAATCTTTAAAAAACATTCACTTGAAGCTTTAATCTGTGGACTGAAATCCACATATCCCTCAAGGACTTAACCTCGGGGCACTGGCTGATGGGTCTGCTTCCTTAAGAACAAGAGAGGGAAGTGGAGGTTGGCACATGTTCCCGTTCCTGTTTTTAATAGCAGCTGACAGGCTCTCCGCTTCCAGTGTCCTGGAGTCTGTCTAGCACAGACTGAGGGCAGCACTTCTTTCACAGTCCAGCTTCCCAGTTTAACAGACACTGCCTCACATCTCCATCTCACTTAGGTATCCTGGTCCCCACTCATTACCAGTATACAATATTCTATTCTTCCTCAATATCTCACAAACTGGTAACTTCATCATCAGAAGCAGGCGTTTTCATCTTCTTTTAAAGCTGCGCTTTCTTCCCCCTGTGGAGCCCCACCACACTGGCAGTGAGCGGCACCTCCGTTACACAGCTCAGCACTCACACCCTTGCCCTGGGGAGACTGCACCTCAGTCTTCTCAGTCTACCTTCGACAGGACGACGATTATCAGCTCTCAGAGCAAAGCAGTTACCTTCGTGAGAACAAGGTCCCGGCCAGGGTGGTCTTCTCAATATGGCTTAACGTTACTATGGCTACAGCAAGGGGCCGCCAGCCCATTGTCCTTTATTAACAAGAGGAGCTGACCAGTTTTTTTAAAGTCTAGACTACGTTTCCATATGTTTACACATTTTATTGTGACATCTTTTAAAAACAAAAGGACGCAAGCATTTGCGTTCAGTGCCCTTCTGCAAGGGCTTCACTCCCGTCCTCCAGGTTTTTAGCTGCCGAGCCGTGCACGTGGAATCGGAGGTGCCGTCCTCAGCACGCTCCAGCTGGGCTGATTCACTGATTAGCTACATCATTTCTTCTAGGACATTTGTAACAGACACAACACACACAGAACTTCAGTTTTTCTCCTTCGTTCTTTCCCGTTTCTTAAGTATGTTTCCAGGTTCTCGTTCGTAGTTTCTTTTCTTTGACTATATTGCACATTTTATTATTAAAAAAGGTTTTATGTCTCAGGCAAAAAGTCTTCTCCACTCGAGGTGCTAATGTGTATTATTTTCTAGAAGAGGTAAGTGGTTGTCTGTGTGGCCATCCTCAAAGGGGACCTGTGGGAGGTAAGGAAGGACCACAGCGTTAGTTCTGCTCTGGCACACTTCCCCCGAGCACAAAGCGAATCCTTCCTATGCCCAAAAGTAACTACACAGACTTAACAATGAAATGACTTAGAGACAAACACTGTACCTCACTCACAGAGCGAACAGGCTTATAGGATCCAAGTCTGAAACGACAGCAAATTATCTCAACTATAAATTTTCCAACTCCATGTAACATGCCTGTAATAAATAAGTTCAGGTTTGTAATTAAATTACTTCCAAAATTAACATGTAAGATCAAAAACTCATATGTAACCACAAAGGAGCAGGCTGGGGAAGGAAAGAAAGCAGTCTGCACTACTCACTTCCAAAGCCAGATACTCCAGAGTTTTATTTAAAAACAAACGGATGTCTCATCAAAATCACAAGGCCACACACTTAGCTCACGTCCCTAACACAATCTTTTCAAGACTTTCCCACATATTTTTGCTAAATAACATACATTTAAATAAACTCGAATGAAGCAGTAAACAGAACTGTGTAAGAAAAGCCATTCTCTTTTAAAATACAGGATTTCAAAACCTTGATCTATGTCACTCCATGAAACACGGAGGGGCAAAACCAAACCCGCCTCCTCTCTCATCTCGGGACTTAGCTGCTCTCGAACTGTCGGGATTACAAGACTGCAAACGATCTCTGACAGACCAGGAATCTCAGGCTAAAAAGTAAACGCATGCTGATTTAATAAAAGTGCCACAAGAAACAACATCATGAATGCATGGCAAGAAGCACCTCGAATTAGAGTGAAGATGCGTCTGTGATGTGATGTGTCCAGCTCACTTTAAGGCTTAATCAGAGTCCACTCTGACCTTCACAGACCAGGTAAACCACCCTACCCACCAAGTCAATGGTGGGGCACAGACCCCGTTCTAGCTGTGTCTTATCAGCGATGCCCAAGGGTATCTGTAGTTCACATAAAATCTCCCTGACATTATGAATGCTGTGCAATCAGCTGTTTAGTGGTTAATAAGTATCATTTTAAAACTCTGGACTTCAAAATCTCCAAACCCCAAAATGTGAGGCTGTGCAGTTCTTACCCTCTCCAAGGAGAGGCTTCAGTTATTATTTTACTTTTTTGCACTGAGATGAAAGTTAGGACCTCACAAGGCCTAGGAGCACTCCACCACTCCACCATCTCTCCCGCAGCATGTTAAGTCTAATAAGCACTTTTAGAAACTAGATAAAGCAGGACATGGCACAGCTCAGGTCTGCAACCCCAGCACTTGAAGAGGCTGAAGCAGGACTGCCATTTGAGAGCAGCCTGAGCTAAAAAGTCAGTGTATTAGCAAGACCCTGTTTAAAAAAAACAAAAACAGAAAAACAGGGAAATTATGCAAAGAAATGAGCATTAACCTGTTGTTGAAAAGATTCCTCCAACAATACCACAGAGTCTGACGACAAACTGCCAGAACGGCATGTGCTCCTCAGTGACTGTCACCATGAGAGAGCTGAGATCGTACTTCATAAATATCCCAGAGACTCCGTGGCTGCCTGCGGCATGGTTAATGATGCGTTCCTGGAAGGGGAGATTGGGAGGGGAGAGAGGAGGGGAAAGAGAAACAGTATGTGCATCACGTGGTTACAAGTGCACAGGCTTATGTGGTTACACAGCTGCACTCCACACAACCGTCCACATTCCTTATGACAAGCTGTCTACTCCACGAGTTCTTCAGAGACAACCATCCCGTATTCTTGGTGTGGATAGTTTTTGTAACTATCAAACACAGCTGAGCCTGGCGTGGTGCCACACGCCTGAAATCCCAACACTCAGGAGGCAGAAGCTGGAGGGCCATGCGTTCAAGCGCAGCCAGTCTACACAGCAAGACCCCTCGTCTCAGAGAAAACAGAACCAGACTATTCCCTACTATGTTTGAAAACCGTCCTATCTACCGGTTTTCCCACGAGACTGAAACTCATCAACAAATCATAGAAACTGTTTGTATTTACAGAATTTTGTATTATTTCTTTGCAAAGAAATTTATAAAAGAATCATTTACTTTTTGTCATTATGTGATCAAGTTTAAAACATTATTCCACTGCCTGTTGTTCACTCTAAACTGAGATATAACAGGAAAAAATAATGCACAATAGAACAATATTTTAGCCACTGGCTCAGTTAACAGCTGTCAAGGAATCAACTATAAATATACACACTGTACACAGCAAGCAAAATCTATGTCCTATGCCTACACTATCGCCCCTCAAGTCAAGTGTGCAAGCTTCCCAATCAATACCTACTGGCACTCTAGCGATTACACCATCACAGGGTCCACTGACACCTCCATGTGGACTCCTTACTTCTACTCAGCTATGACTAAACTGCAAGCATTAAGAACACATACAATGTGGTCAATTTCCCTCACACAATAGAACCTTATACACCGCTGACCAAGTTTCCAACAGTGACTCCTCTTAAAGCTCTGAAGTATTCAACATCGAGTACATTACCAATACACTGTGACACATACGAGGAAGGAAGATGCTTCAGGGTCAGGGCACAGAAAACATCCTTCCCCTTAGCAGCAAAATACTAGGAATGATTAAACTGGGATTCCCAAACTGAGAGCGGCCAGCCCCTCTCTACACAACCTCCCGTTCTGCACCTCACCCACTCAATACAGTCATAGTGCTGAGCCACCTACCAGCACACACCCTTAACGGAAACTGCTCTGGCATTTTACAACACGTCTCTCTTTTATTCGACTTGACTATTTTCAAATATGCCCTGGAGATCATTTCCCATCACCTTAGGGACTGTCCTCTTTCCAGTCACATGTCCTTCACTGGGTGGTGTGTAATCCTGAGTTGTTTCTAGTCTTCTACCATCATAAACAACAGAACAATGAACAGCCCCGCACACACAGTATTCTTCGGGTTTTCTGTGTCTTTAGCATGAGGACAGCAGGAGCACTGGTAATGCACACTTCAGTCCACACATCCTGCCAGGCTCGCTCTCAGAGACCACAGCACGCTGCACTCCCTCCCTCCACAGTTTTATGCTTGCTTTGCCCCAAAGCCTTATCAAGCTATACACTGCCTTTCAGCTGCCTGCCAATCTTACAGGTGAGAAACAGCTCCTTGCACCCTGTAGAATTACTGAGAAGCCCAGGACAGACCTACCTACTTTCTGTGTACATGTGCACATACAAATGTACAAAATTATAGACACTTGTTTTTCCTCCTTGAATCACTTCAAGTGTCACACACAACATTTCACCTCCACAAAACAGCCACTTCAGAACAAGGAACACTCTCCCATCACTGACACAGCAACACACAGGGAGGAGAGCAAATTCTAAAATGCTTAGACCTGCCTTGGAATTCATCTGGACACCAGTATCTGAACATTCATCCATCTCAAGCTTTCACAGAAGGAAGGAAATATGCCCCAGAACTGATGAGACATTGTTCAAACCTGCTCCTCGCCCAGTGTCCACCTGAGGCTGTGGAGCACACTGCAGCTCAGGCCCCAGCAATGACAGAGGACAGTGCTGGCTGACGAGCAAGCAGGGAGACTCACGTACTCCAGGGAGCATTTACTACACAGGCACCAGAAAGCCTGCGGCCAGGTCAGACGAAGCACACTAGAGTGAAGAGGCCCAAACAACCGGTGCTGCCAGAGCTCTGTTTCTGATAAGAGCATTTCTGGGTTTTTACAGCTGATCCTTATTCTAAAGCACACAAACACTCATTTCTAATTTAGTTTTGCCTACAATAAAATGCCTTCTGCTGTCAGAATACCCCCAGATCATTTTAGCGGCCAGACTCCACTTACTCTTTCTGTCACAGAGAACTGGTGGGTCTCTGCTGAAATCTTGTGTGTGTGCAGCTTTGTTGGCACAACTGTAATGAAATACTGGAACATCTGGTTGTCTGCAATGAAAGACGCGTCCTTTCATCAATCTGGGAGCCACAGACTACTGCCAAATACATTCTTCTGGTAAATATGATAAACCTGAAATCTGTCTTAGTGTCTAATAAAAATTTTAAAAATAAACCAGTAAGATTAACATTCCTATTTGGTAAAAACAAAGTTCCAGTAAGTATAAAAAAGGTGTGAGGGTATCCAAGGATGTTTGCCTATGAACACACACGTGTATACACACACACGTGTACACACACACAGTGAAAGGTGATCTAGTGGTTGAGTTCTTAAATTCACTAACAGCCTTATTCGAACACAGAAAATGTGGCATTTCTTTAGAGCAGGGAAACGAGTAAAACCAAAATCAAGTTATAATTACATAACCGCCATTTCCCCTTCTGTTAATCTTAAGGTAAACTCACACTAAAATTGAACTGGCCACACTTTAAATACAAGACATGGGTACCAAAGTAGAAAGGTCACGGGACAAAGCAATCCAAAGGATTCTTTTTTATAGTCATTAGGTATCTTCAGGTTTAATATTAAGTTAAAGGGGCTGCTGACTGGAGAGGTGACTCAGAGGTTAAGAGCACTTGTTCTTCCAGAGAACCAGGGCTCAATTCCCAGCACCCACCTGGCAGCTCTGTTGCCTTCTTCTGGACTTCATGGGTACTAGACACACACCAACAAACAAAAACTAAATGTACTAGCAATCAAAACACCTGTACACTTGTACAAATAAAAATAATTTTTTAAAAAGACTGCCAGGTATGGTAGTGCACGCCTTTAATCCCAGCACTCGGGAAGCAGAGGCAGGCAGACCTCTGTGAGTTCAAGACTAGCCTGGTCTACATATTGAGTTCTAGGACAGCTGGGGCTACAGGGAGACCCTGTCTTAAAAATACAAATAAATAAATTAATTAATTAATTAAAATAAAAATAATAAAATGTTTTTAAAACTTAAGTTACAATAATTGGTATCTGAAAACATAAGCCCATGTGGTAAACAAGCTATAATCTCAGCCCTCAAGAGGGAAAGACAGGAGGACTGTTGTGGGTCCCAGGCCAGCATGGTCTAGACAGAAGAAAGTATCTCAAAACAACAACAAAGTCTCCTGAAAACGTGAACGTACCACTTGGTACAAAACTAAGAAAACAGCCCTTCCGTGTCTGAGGAGGAAAGTACTTCAACGGCAGTAGAGGCTTCAAAGCAAACCCACAGAAGGTCGTCCACGCTATCACACACAACTAGGCTTCTCACAGTTTCCACACTCCCCAGGGAGCACCCTAAAAGTGCATGAAAAAACGTGCATTTCCTTTAATGAGGACGAAAGCATCTTACAATGCTGACACATTCTTGTTCTTTCCTTCCTCAGTGAGTATGGACAGGGCAGCCATACCCCACTTAACTTACATTAGAACGACTGAATTCTCTGTCTTGCCTGGCTTTAATTGCTTTAACTCTGTTCTCTAACTTATTCTTTAATATTCAAATTTTATTCCCTTCTAGGACAAACTATCTCCACACATTCATCAACCAGTTAATTACCCTTACAAGGGTATACAAGGACTATTAAAAATGCACTAACATTAAGGTTATAAGAGCAATTTCCTACATGTAAATTCCAAGAGTAATTATTATTAAGGTTTTAAGAGCAAGTTCTTATACATAAATTCCAAGAGTAGTTATTAAATACTTACGATCCACAGCAATTTTTTCTGTTCCATCCAAGGGATTAATAATTCCCGGAACAAGCTCTCCAAAAGACAAATGATCTATTCTGTGAGAAAAGTTGTAAGCTAAGAGGCAAAATAAAAGTAGAAAAATTATGTTATTCAAAGCTACATGCTATAGGTTGTTTTACATTCTTATCTACCCTCAAATTCTCTAAAATTTATTGAGTATAATGACGTGTTGAGAAAAAGCAATGTATGAGAGATGTGTAAGTAAATTCTGGGAAAAAGTCTCAGAACTTTTGATCATGTACAAGTTAACTGCCATGAAACATTCTATGTAATCCTTATATCCAAACATTTCAAATATCATACAGAAACAAGACTGCCTTGTTAAAACCTGAGATGATGCTGATATGGTCAAATACTGGAACTGATCACAGATCATTTTAATATTTATCCTTCCTACAACCAAATTATTTTTGTGGCTTATTTTGTCCTCTACAGAATAGTTTAATAAGTTTTGCCAGGCACGGTGGTATAATGCTGAAATCCCAGTACCAGAAAGACAGATACAAGGGGATCAGGAGTTCAAGGTCGCCCTAGGCTACGCGGGAAACTGGAAGTCAGCACAGGCTACACGAGAATTTGACGAATGAGAAGTCTTTTAACAATCATTATACCAAATTAATTTTATAATGGATGTGTGAATACGCCTGTATTCAGATCTGCAAACTGAAACGGACTTCAGTATCTGTAAACGTCATCATGGGTGCAGTGAAAGCCACCTCTGCTTCTTCCTTCACTGGTGACTTCCGAGATGAACACGTGGAAAGCCAGACTGGAAGCAACAAACGGGATTTTTTTCTCTTCTGAAGTAAGATCAAGTTTTGGATCTTACTTTTTGTCCTGGTTGTTCGAGACAGGGAACTGCTGTACACTGCCGTGGCACTCACTATGTAGCCCAGGCTGGCTTCACAAGCACAGCAATTCCCCTGCTTCAGTCTCCCAAGTGCTGGCTTACCAGTGCCACCACACTCAGTGAACGGCTGACATCTACCTTTTTACTCATTTATTACTAAGTAGTCCTGGCTGGCCTGGAACTCACTATATAATAGTGCAGGCTGGCCGTGACTCACAGAAATCTACCTGCCTCTGCCTCCAGAGTGCTGGGATTAAAAAGTGTGTGCCCCCAGGCCTGGCAGCCATTTACTTCTAAAGCCCTATCTTACGTTTGAACTAAAATAAACACATGTAAAACACAGACACACAAAATTAACTTTACTCAAAAACTTTTCAACACTGAAACAAAATTTAAGAGAGAAATTGCTCACAGTCATGGTTGACAAGTGCTGCCAAATGTGCATGCCCTCGAGGATGTGGGATCGCCCTGAAAGAAGAAAACAACAGGTATAACCAAGAGGTCGCTGCCTGTGTCCCAGCAGGCTGTTCCCTGGAGGAGGAGCAGAGCACTGGCCTAGTGGAGCAGACAAGGCCCATCACCTCAGAGGGCAACAGGCCGAGGGCTGTCAGGGCCAAGGGGGAAGAGTTTTAAGCTTCTGCGGCAAGATTCGAAGTCAAGGGTATTATGCAGTCACCGTTTCACATACAACTGACAAAACACAAAGTCCTAATAAATGAGCTCTATCTCCTGTAACATAAGTGCCTTTCAGGGAAACTGCATTTTGCTTAAAGTCAGTGTTCCTACTTTCAAAACCAATCTCAAGCACGTCTACTGCATATTTCATCTTTGAAAGCACAAATTCATATGCATGCTTCAACTGAGTCTATTTGTTCCTTGGAAGACACTTCTAGAACACAGATAGAATCCTCTCTTCATAGACTGCATGTCATTGTATCACAGTGAATTCCCAACTTAAGGCAGAACTCCCATGATCACACCATTCATGGACTTTGGAAACTCCCTTTGCGCTTGTGCTGGGAAGCACCTGGAGCCAGAGTAAGCAGAAACGTGTCAGATGTACAAACGGAGACCTTGGTTCCCAGATCAAGTTGCTTAAGTCTCAAAGGCCGATGGAACCCCTCACACAGCCACTAATGAAGCCATCTGGTCACAACTCTAGCTTCATACAAATACCATTTCACCTTAAAATTTAGGGTTAAATTTATTAAGAAACATTTTACCAAGTGTGCACAAAACTTAATTTCCTACATGACACACTGGAGTATTTTCTGCAAAGCGCAGCTTCTAAACAGTGGCTAACTGCTGGCTGTAATACATTTTCACAAGGTTTGAGAACTATTTGCTACACATGTACTGCTCACTAATCATATCACATTTCAGCAGGTTTCACTGAGGCACCTGGAATCCATGCTATTTACAAGCACTAATTCTGTGATCATTTTAAACTTAGGAAGTCTCCCTCAAACCAATCCACAGCGAGCAGTAGTGGTGGCGTGGATGCACTTACCAAGACCTCAGGAAGCCCCCAGTCACCTGGCTTGCCTTTTTAAAATTTAGTTTATTTCTGATTATGTGCCTGTGTGTTTCTGTGTGTATGAACTTGTATGAGTGCAGGTGCCCTGAGAGGGCAGAAGAGGCCTTGGATCCCTAGAGCTGGAGTTACAGATGGTTGTGAGCTGTCCTATGTAGTATTTGGAACTGAACCCAGGTCCTCTGGAAGGGCAAGTGCTCTTAATGCTGAGCTCGTCTCTCCAGTACCCCCTGCACCCCTCACACACCCACAGAGTCTCGCTATGTAGCCCAGGATGGTCTGGAACTCACTATGTGGATAAGGCTGGCCTCAAACTCAGAGAGAGACCTGCCTCTGCCTCTAGAGTGCTGGGATTTAAAGTGCGCACCACCGTGTCCAGCTAGACCCATTTTGCTTCTGAACTGACCACTGGACACTGTTCTCAACTGTCCTCAGCTGGTGGAGCTTCCTCACTGAACGCTTATAGCCTAAAGCCCATTTACCTCCTCTAAACACACTTCTGCAACTGCAGCAATCAGATTTCAGTAACTTACATCATCTTTCTTGCTTGGCTCACCAATGACACACACAAAAGTTATTTTGACAGTAACTTCGTTTTCACATTTTATTTTTGAGAAAATTCAACTAAGCATTTTACACTAAGCTTTCTAATTTTTCTGGCCACTGCTTTCTGAGTTGGGAGTCTGGGCTGGGTGCCAAGTCTGCTAACATCACTCACACGCTGCATTCTTTCAGCAGTTAGAGGCACTCCACCATGACCAGTGCTCTGCAGCCAGGCTCGCCCTGATTTAAGAGGAGGGCAGCTGGAACCTGCATCTCTAAGGAAGTTAGTTTTACATGGTAACACGGTAAGTGCATAGCAACAAGAATGACACATGCCTGTAGTGCACCAACAGCAGCACAAGGCAATGAGACCCTCAGAGTCTTGAGTCCATTTCCAAGTCTGACACCACAGTGCAGCAGCAGCCCTGCACACACAAACAACACGGCTGCTTTCACTGAAACTCCCTTGTGATCGCAAACCCGGCTTCCACGTGTGTCTCAAGAGCCGTACAGAAACAAGCAGTGGGCATGGGTAGGATCTGGAACCTAGGCTGCCATCCGCACACCTGTGATGTGCCCCATTCTGTCAACACTGTTGACCCTCACGTTTAACCTGCTTTTCAATTCCTTTAATATTATTGAGAATAACTACTTTTCCCACTTCTTGACTTAGAAAATACAAAGTTAAAATGTTCTACAAGTCACCCCTCATTTGTGCTTTACCCAGTTCCGCATTCTGGCAGACACTGACAGTAAGACTTCCATGAGGTACACATCCTTCCTGACCAGTAACAATGTCAATGACAAGCCTGAGTGTCCCAGTAGGTCTTAACCCATGCTTAATTTGTTCTCCATGTATCTGGCACAACAGGCACTTAATAAAAAGTGGGAATGTAATGGAAATCTATTAGGCCCAAAGTGAAGCCCCCTCCCTTCACCAGAATGCCTGCCAGCGGATTCCGGCAACACGGCCTGTGCTAAGTGAAGTGTGGCCTCAGGACTCTACTCAGAAACTGCTGCAGAGCTCACTCCAACAGCACCCTTCAGTAGGCCTCAAACTTAAGACAGGAACTTTTCTGAATAATCCAATTATACCACTGTATTTGACTTCAATAATCTCTCACAACCCAGAGTTTTCTTCTGAGAGAAACTAAGAATTGTCTGAAATTATATCTTCTTTCCCTTTTTGGTTAAAAACCATAAACTGAAATTTTATGAATTAATTATAAGCAAGCATCTCCCTTCAAAAACAGACAAAAATCAAGTTAAGTCATCCTAGTATTGATGCCACATGTTTAAACTCTTTGATCTTCTGGTTTCTCTTTGGGCATACTGTGTCTTCCATCGCTTGGATGGTAAGGTTACACTGGAGAAGAACTATTCTCAACACTGGCGGGTTGGGAAGACAGTTGTGGTTGTGACAGTTACTCACAGGGAGGGCTGCTACTGGCATTTGTGAAGCACAGCCAGGAAATACTCAAGTTCGGCCGCACATGCACATCCTAGACAACTAGACCTGTGCACACACACTAGCCGCTAAGAGGAGTCCCTAACCTGTGCAGCTCAGTGTTCATCAGTCACCTCGTCAACAGAAATGGCACTCGTTCTACAAGGGGCCACACACGTCTGATCTGGTGACAACTGTACACGTAAGTGCCAAGTGTCTGCCCCTTCCCTGTGCCCTGCGGTGTGCCTGTGGTGTCTGTATGGTGAAGGGACCCTGGAACCCTCGCACATAAGAGTTGGGACTAGCATTGACAAGCAGGATGATCAACACTGAACCTGACAAACCTGACACCAAAAATAGGGTGGTCTGCTGAGTTCCTACAACACAAACACACACTTCCCTTCTGGGTCTGCTATTTGTAGTGCTCACCTAGTGAGAGAATTAAATTGGAAAAAAAGCCAAAAATAAATAAATAAAATGCAGGCTGCATTACAGAAGCTCACAAACAGCTCCCCACACAGCCTAGGGGGCTGTCTGCACACAAAGCTGTAATGAACCTTCTCAGTTTCTATGAGTCAACTATTAGGGGCTGCCTCCATGGTACCCAGAGGCTTCAAATCCTCAGGACCAGACTGCAGGTGGGCAAGGCGCCCTGGAAACAGCGACCAAACAACACAATCTGAATTTGGAGAGAGAAGCACAGCACAGGAAAAACAAAGTCTGATCTCATTATCACAAGCACTGGTCTTGATCAAAGTCTAATGCTATCTCCACTAACAGACTGCCCTCAGAGCCTGTTCTTTTCTTACAGGCCCCGCCTCACTTTAGAAGTTCCTAACTCCCCACACTGTTCTAAGGTTTTCCTCATAAAGCCTCTGTCCTGTAGACTCAGTCATACAAACTTTCTTATCAGCCACGAATTTCCTTTAGCCTCAATACAACTACAATCAAATAATTATCAGCATACTCACTGTTCAAAGTTTAAGTTTTCTTGCAAGACATCGGTAAGAGTAAAAAGCTCAATACAACTACAATCAAATAATTATCAGCATACTCACTGTTCAAAGTTTTTCTTGCAAGACATCGGTAAGAGTAAAAAGTCTCTGTTTTTGTACTCTGCACACAGCAGATACTCACGAAATGACAGGGACACAGAAGAGCACATTAGCTCTCCAGGGAAAAAAAGGAAGGGGGGTGAGATCTGCCATGCCACCATGCCCATCATGTGAAAGTCACTATGTTGGATGATACACAGGAAAATAAGTGCTCTGATATTTTTCTTTAACTTTTATCCAATTTAATTTTATTCTAGGCACTAATAGTTTTAAACTTTATCAAAATATTGTTTCTAGAATCAATCAGGGACTGCATTTTGATAAGAACTACCAAAAGGCTAAACAAACCAGAACCCACAACAAGGAGCACATCCATGACGTTTAAGAGCACTCTGGTTCCTAAAAGGTACCAGGTAAAAGGCTTTAATTCCTATTTACCTGCAAATCATTTAACACATAAAACGCAGACTCATGACTTGGTCTGAGATAGATTTAAGCCAATGGTCTTCTTCTCATCCTGAGACATGCTGAGTGTCTCAAGAGGCTAAACGCAGACAGACATTTGACGTGCTCCTTTGTGGTTGCCTAGAAGACACTATCTGGTTAGGAAAGGATGTAACTTAAATATGCTCCAGCCATGTCTAAGGTATTTTCAGGAAATGAAAAGAACATACTTGCCCACAGTTATGTGAAAATTTCCTGCTACTTTATTGACATACAGATGACCATGAATTCTGCAAGCATCTGGAGACAGTGATGAATCATCTTCCCTGTAAAGCAAGACACGGTGCAAGGTCTTAAAACACATTCAGCACAGTTACCATGCAGGGTATGAAAACTACACAGGGAAGGTCCCTAAAGATAGTTTTAGCTAATGTCCTAAATGTCTTCGAGTCTTCCCAGAGGGCTAAATTCAATAGCAGAAGAAATATAAAAACCAAAGACAAAGTCAACAGAAACACCCTCCCATCTCTTTCTGGCCCTGCAGTGGAAGCTGGACAGGAACGACAGGAACAGGGACACAGGGAAAGGTATCCAACCCAAGTACAAACAGATTTTGTTCTTGGTATTTTTGAATTTGAAGAATTATTTTCATGGGGGCTAGAGAAATGGGTCAGTGGTTAGGAGCACTTCCTGCCATTCCAGAGGACCCGTGTTCAGTTCCCAACACCCACATGGTGGCCCACAACTATAACTCCAGTATCAGGGGATCCAATGCCTTCTGGCTTCTTAGGCACAGACACACACAAGGTGCACATACACACGTGAAGGCAAAATCTATACAAATAATTTTTTTTAATTAAGGCTTAAAAAATTATTTTCATGATTATAATCCCCATTACCTATTCTGATTTATAAGAAATGAAAAATTTTTAACTAAAATATATGTAGTATAATTTGTACAATTTTAAAGGAGATACACCACACATAAAAAATGTCAATTACCTTAATGATAATAAAAGCAGTATGTCTGTGGCAGCCCTGATCAAAATCATAGGCTAGAATTTAAGAGTGAAGGACAACTTCAGGTGCCAAATAATTTCAAAGAAAGGAAAGTAAACCCATACTGAAACTATTAGAGTAAATTCCGGTAAATAAGCCGATGACGCTTCGAAGCCCCTCTCACCTCGGTGGCAGTGCCGTTGATGTGCTTTTAAAAGCACTTTTGAAAATCACATCTTGAAGCGAGTGCTCTTCTTGCAGTCTACTCTGAATCAGCTGCAGCATCCTAAAGGCAACAGAGGAGTAGGAGGCCAAGGGCCAAGGTTTGTCCAGTGCACTTGCTACAGGGTCATGTTCCAAAAGAAGCCCACCACCTCTTCTCAGGAAACCAATCGCTGGGCCGCCAGGACCTGCAGAATTCTACCGTGGTGGGCAGCATCCGGAGCCATTACAAGGGAACTGCTGCTGCCCTGGGTGTCTAAGCTCACCTTTCACACAAAGTCCAAAATTCTTACCTCTTGTCAAGCACTAAAATCAATGCAGATATAACACACAAGCTAAATAAGGCCATCCAGCAGAACTGATGGACTTGAGCTCATAGATTATCCAGCTAGAAACCTGGCTCTCACTGCAGACTGGGGCGGGGGCCACCCTGCCTACTACCTGGTGTCCTCTCTTGAGGGACCTGAACCGAACTCTACAGGATCATTTACACAGAGCACCAGTCTTCAGACACTTAGAAAACAGAACCCCACACAGGACCCCGCACGGCACAGGACCCCACACGGCACAGGACCACACAAAGCACAGGACCCCACACAGCACAGGACCCCACATAGCACAGGATCCCACAAAGCACAGGACCCCACACAGCACAGGACCCCACACAGCACATTTAAGGAGCAGTGCACACACGGTGTCTCCCATTTCACTGTCTTAATGAGTAACATCTCCAGTCATATATAGAAAAGTCCAAACTCAGCAAGCATAAAGATTGTTCAGAAGGTAGGCAGGGTGAGCAGGCGAACACAGAACCCTTAGAGCAGTGAAGCTGCTTAGTGCTGTGGTAACGGAGGCTAGAAGCCACTGCACAACTGTCAATCCACTCAGAAAAGCACAGCACCAGGAGGGGGGCTCGAGGTGAGCTGTGGACCTTGAGTAATGATGTGCCATGCGGGTGCATCCGTAACGGCAGGTAAGCCACAGTGGGTGTGGTGCCGATAAAGGGAGTAAAGGCAGGGTGCACGGGACCTTGGTGCTTTCCACTCACAGAACTCTGTGGTCAATTTATAACTACTCTTTAAAAAAGAGTGCATTCTGTGTATACACATTCACATACACTTTATATTAGAAAAACATACACACAAATATAGGAACTTAAAAATGCAGATGAGAACCTGACAGTACACCAAATGTCACAATGGTCAAGTACTTTGTAGAAATGCAAACCAGAGACAAAAATATGTGTGTACCATCCATCCAGAACTCTGGAGAGACAGGCCTGTTTTGTTAAAATCACAAATCAACTTTACTTAGTTTAGAATAAGCTTTAAAACTAGAAAGAAAAGGCAGAAATCCTAAAAGACTGTGTCCAGGGTTTGAACTTTTCTATTCAAGGAAAAAAAAAATGAAAACGGTAATTAAGAAGTTTCTAGAAGACAGATCTTGTCTTCATATTTATTTGTCCAAAGTCTTAAAATCTTTGGAGCCAAGCGCAACAGAAGTCACATTTATGTCTCTTTAGTTCCCGGAGTCCAACTTTTATGTTTGGCAGCTGGAAAAGAACTTGATGAAACAAGGTGTGTTCTTCCTGGACGTGCCCGTGAGAGTCAAGTCTACATTCTATACATGAAGGTAAGTAGAAAACTCAGGTATTATCATCCAAATAAACAACCTCTATTCCCAATAATTACTATCTTAAATACTGAATAGAATTCTAGATAAAAGGTAGCATCTCAGGGCTGGAGAGATGAAGCAGCTCTACCACAGGATCAGAGTTTAGTTCCCAGCACCCACAGCGGGTGATTCACAACTACCTGTAGCTCCAGCTCTAGGGGATTTGCCATGCTCTTCTGACCTCTGTGGCACCTGCACACGTTTGGCATACACAGTGACAGACACACATAGAAATAAAAATTTTAAAAAAAGGCATCTCACTTTAATACTGCTGTGTTTTGATTTGGGTTTCTTGTTTTTAAACTTCTGGAGGCAGGGCTCACTACTTAGTCCTCCTGCCCTAACCTACTAAGTGCTGAAAGATTACAGACATGCACCACACACCTGGCTTTCACTTTAGACAGAGCTTTCTACTACACGTGCTAGAAGCCAGAAATACCCAGTACTCACTACTTTGTTCAATCACATTCAAGTTTAATTTTCATATTAAAATTCTTCCAATTAGGAAAACTGGAGGTTAAAAAGACCCCTGAATTGTTCTAGGGAATAGAAAGCAAAACACCTCAAAAAATGTCCATGTAGTTTTTAATAATGATCTGAGACCAGGTAAGCACAAGTATAAGCCATTTTGGAAATGTAAAGGGGTAAAGAAAGCACTTATAACAAAGACATGATTTCTTAAATATGCAAAAGCTTCCAAAGATCTAAGGAAAACATTCAAAAGTGAGCATTCAGCATGGCCAAGCAGGTTCACACAAAAAAGGAAACCCATAAAGATATTCAACCAATTCCTGAAGAAACGTTCATTAAAATGAAAGTGCCTGACATGGTGCTGCAAGCTTTTAATTCCAGACACAGGCAGGTGGAGCTTGTGGGATTGAGGCCAGGCCTGGGGCTACAGGAGATTCTGTCTTAAAAATAAACCAACATAAAAATAAACAATACTGATTTTCAACATCAAATCGTCAAAAATTTTAAAAGGTCTGGCCACTCATTTAACATGGTCTTTCACATATACTAAAATACCAGAAATCTCATGCTAGGTAAAAAGAGTAAATTATAGAACAAATGCTGGGAATAATCCTATCTGCATTCCAAAAAGTAACAGGTAACTATTTACAAGTATAAAAAAATCATCTCTAAGGACAGAAAACGTCTAGAAAGACACCAGGTTGCCGTCACTAGTGGGTTTTACTAGTTCACAGAACGAGGAGGTTCTCCTTCCCCTTTATGATGTTCAGGTCAAAATAAACTGTTTTTCAATAATTAACCCAGGCTGGTCTGGAATTTGCTACACAGCCCAAGCTAGAGTTGAACTTGGAGACAATGCTCATATATTACTTTTACAGTTAAAATTTTTTAAATAGTTAACAAATGTTTAAATAAAAACCAAAGTTTACTTATGATTCAAAATATACTATATATATGACTTTCCTCAGATCTGGTTTTAAAGTTGTAAAGACTACTGATGCTAAGTATTTTAATGTGTGACTACTTTGCAGTGGACAAGTGTGATCTTGAGGACACTCAGGCATTACCTCTGCCACTCTCTCTGCTGAGGTGAAAGATCAAACGTTGCCTGCAACAGAAGAAAACACCATCACCAGGACTGGCTTTTATACATTATTAATTTTTTTTTTCTCTTTGAACAAGAAGCATAAACTTACAGTGTTACTAAAAAGTATGCTTTATTCAAAAATGGTATGAAGTTTTCTAATCATAGTATCTTCTTGTTAACAGTTACTGACATTTACAGAAACAGATGCAAGCTGGCACTCTATCACAAAACACTATCCTAGGATTTAAAATCATTCAAGCAATGCTAACCTAAACTCCCGCACAGACTCAAAGGGGGGTAAAAAAAAGACAACACCAAGGTGAAATGAGAAACCCAAGCTTGGCAGAGCTTCCTCCTGCAGGAAGTGCAGGTGAACACGCCCCCACACCCTTGTTGAAAAGGAAACCCAAAGACTCACTGCAAAATGACAAAAATAACACAATTATGAATGGCAGAAAGTAAAGACGGGCTGGGAAAGTGCTTACTTTGTAAGCACAAAGAACTGACTGATTTCCAGACCCCATGTACAAAGGACACACTGAAATCCTAGCACTGAAGCCAGACAGGTGGGTTGCCGAGGCCTAATGGGTAAGTTCCAGGCCTGACAGACTGTCTCAAAAACACGGTAGACAGCGCCTTTCCCAACAGGCCACCAGAGGCAGACTTGGGTCTCCACAGCCGTGTACACGCATGTAAATGAGCACACACATGCATACGCACACACAAATAAGAGTTACACACACAAGGGCTATACAACAATCTAAAATGTAAATGTTAAAGTGTCTACCAATATTTCCAGATCATACTATAATATGCTGTTAATGATATCTGAATTTAACATAACTTCTTATATAAACAAGTCAGGGAAGGACTAGAATGGCAAGAAATATTATTTTTCTATCAAAATGTCTACTTTAGGAGTACTTTATGGTTTCAATATAAACTGTTCCCATCAGACCAGGTTCCTATGTTATAACCCAGAACCCTATTAATGGTACAATTTTGAAAGGTTGTAGAAACTTCACGAAATAAGTCATTTTGGTGTGGGGACTTCGGTGTCTTGCCCTGGCCTCTTCCTGTCTCTCTGTCGTCTGGCCACCGTGGGATGGAATAGCTCCTCTGCCACATATCCCAGCAGCCATGTGCTCTGCCCAAGTACAAGGGGCCAAGGGATGGTGGACTGAACATCCGTGAGCAAACATGAACTGTCCCTCCCTCAGGTCATCTCTGACAGGAGTTTTATCAGTCACCCAAAAGTGATGAAAACAAGTGCAGCAGAGACAGAGGACCTTCTCCTGTAAACTAAAGTTCATTCGATAGTCAAAACTAGCCAGGGCCTGCGTTTTCTTGCTTCAACCTAGCTGTTCAATGATCTCGACACTGCTTCCAGAGTCACTTGGCAATTTTGCCTGAAGAACTCACAACTGCCACTGATAAGGAACAGAACCAAAGCGTGTGTGCGTGTGCGTAAGGACCGCAGCGCCGACAGGCTGCGTGCTCTCTCTCATGTATTTTTGGGGGCTGGTTCAGATTACACGCTGCTAACCTGCACACTCACTGTTATGTGATACACAGTAAGTCAACTGTTATGCACAGCTTGGGCTCTGACTGCACCAGGAGAACACCAGCATTCCATAAGCCTCGGGAAGGTAAAGGAAGGAAAAGGGAAACGTAGATGGGATCCCCTCGGAAAGACGCTGCCCTCCCGGCCGGAAGAAAACTACAACTCGGGTACTTTAACACTTCAGCTCAGTGAAAGCAGCATACGCCATAAAAGCCCCAAATAACTGGAGAAAAAGTAAAAACTTCTGGTCTGAAAGCAAATACAAAGGAGAACGAGCAACTGGTGAAGCATCATCAGGAAAGTAGCCCACGAACAAGGCTGTAACAGACACCAGAGGCCGTCCAACAAGCTAGCAGTATCTCGTTTCGATCACCAGATGTAACTTTTCTCCCCCGCCTTCCACTGAAATTTCTGACAGAAATTATGAATTACTTTTGAAATAAGAGAGATATAAACTAAGAGCAAACCTCCAAAGTTTGTTCAAGGTTCAGTAACTCTTGGGCATACTCTTCAAAACCACATAAATCAAACTTACTGGCTCATAAACTAGACCGTCTGCAGATGCAACCATCGTCTCCGCTAAATCCAGCACATCTGCTCCAACATCTGCATCAAAACAAACAATGCATTTAGTCTACACTCAGACCAAAACTACCCCTGCTGTAAAACAAGCAGAGGTGACTGACATCTGATCAGAGTACCACCTCTGCACTGCTTGGGTGTTCAGAAGTTAAAACAGTAGCACTATCACGCTGGTAGATAGTATTCCAAATATTAAATGTGGAGTTTTTTATCTACTTCTTGCTCTGAAAGAGATGGCACAAAAACCCCGTGGTAAAAAAGCATAAAGTCAGCCAATTAGACAGATCTGCAAATGCAGATAACGTGGACACAGTAAGTGGATGGTGCTTAAATTTATTACAAGAATCATGTTAAGGATTTGAAAATATTAAGGCAAAGCTACCGAGACTTTAAAACAACAACAAGGGAATTTTCCTTTGAAAAGGCTGAAACTTTAATGGCATTTAAACATTCAAGTGAGTTGTCTACTCAGGGTTAACTCTAACTCAGAATTTAGACAGAAAGCATCTCCTCACCTCTTCAAACAGCTAACATGAGGAAAAGTAGCTGGAAGGGGAGGAGACTAGGCTGTTCCAGGGTGCTGTCTCTGAGGAGACTAGGCTGTTCCAGGGTGCCATCTCTGAGGAGACTAGGCTGTTCCAGGGTGCAGTCTCCTGGGACTGCCCCTATTAGCAGGGTCAAACTATTCCCTAACAGTGTGCTACCACCAAGAATATATTCTTGGTCTCTACTTTTCAGGCAGTAACTTAAAAAGCACCACTTTTGAGAGCAATCCTGATTCAGACCTTGACTCTCCTCCAGCTTTATCAGCACAATCAAGTAAACAGGGTGGTGTTCACTGAAAAATTAATTGGAACTGCACCTTAAAAATGCAGTGAGCCAGCCAGACGTGGTGGCGCACCCCTTTAATCCCAGCACTCGGGAGGCAGAGGCAGGAGGATCTCTGTGAGTTCAAGGCCAGCCTGGTCCACACTATGAGTTCCAGGCAGGCTGTGACTAGGGAGATGGACACCCTGTCTAAAAAAAAAAAAGGGAAGTATAAAGGAGATCAGGTGGTCTACGGAGTGTGGTGGAGAGCCTGGTTCTGCACACAGGAAACACACAATACTTAAATTCCAACTTCAACCGACAAAACTCTGCTCCAATTTTCTTCTAAGTGAATAACGTTACCGTTACATTTGCTAGTAGAGGAGGAATCCAATGACCCCTCGGTCGTACTCACACTGACACTTCATGGCAACAGTGATGTCTATGTTGATTCTCAACTTGCTGAAAGAGAAAGACAGCATCAGTACTAACCATCAGCAAAGCCCAAGGAATATGAATCAACTCATCTATGGGAAACATGGACTTAAAAATACACAACAGTCAAAACTTAGATCACATTTCTTAAAAATCAGAACAAAGGCATCTTAAAAACTCTATTTTGTGTAAGCCACCTGACATGGGTCCTAGAAACCGAACCCAGGTCCTCTGCAACAGCAGTATGCACTCTGATCCACGGAGCCTTCTCTCCAGCCCTCTAAACGTTTAATTTTGTATTTAGCCCAAAATCCATCCTTTCTGCTTCCTCAGATGTTTAACACAGTAACCTTTTATTCGTTAATGGTACCTCCATAGCCAATAATCCTGAAAAACTCAGGGAAAGTCTTAACAGCCTTGGCCTGCTTAAACTTTGCATAGAGCAGTCCTTTAAGAATATAAACTTTGACCAAAAAAAAAGAATTTAAGCTGGGCCTGGGCCACAGGGAGCAAACCACCAAGACAGTAACGATCTGATGATTATGGCTGAACACGGCCTTCTGTTTTTAATTAAAATTTCTCTGAGTACTCACACACAGGTACTGTATCCATGTCATTCCCACCCCTCCGTCCCCACGCCCTCTCAGTTTCATGACATCGTCTTTATTACTGTTAGACGAACACACACAGACACGCAAGTTCTCTCATCCCCCTGCCCCCCCCCCCATGCACATATGGTTGAGGCTGACACCTGGGATTGGATAACCTAGCAGGGAGCTTGTCCTGGGAAAACGGACTCTCCCTCTCTCTGCAGCTACATAGTTACTTAAATAAGATTCGACAAATGCTTTACTTTCAAATGACTCATATAAAATTAACTTTCAACATCTAGGATTAAATAACCATCATAAATAGCAGAAGGGCTGGTGATCAAACTAAGTTCTGTATTTCCTATCAAAACGTTATGCATTCTAATGGTTTTTCAATTGATCTCAGTAGGTATTAGATGGTTCTAGAGCTTCATAGTCTTAAAGTTGTCTAGAATTCAAACTCAAAATAATTATGCAGTTATGGCTCGGAGGTGCTGAAGGACCAGAGACAAAGGCCAAGAAACCAGGCTCCCGGTGTGTCTACCCAAGACCTCACCTGGAAGACAGAAAGTGTTTCAATGATGCTAACCACGGATGAGCCAACAGAAAGTTCCCTGAAAACTGATGGCCTATGAATGACAGACGATCCCATTATGGACCAAGGCCCAGGGTTAGGCCCAATTCCAAGGGTGAGTCCTTAAGTCCCAGGCCCTACGTGACAGGCCCTACACCATCCCTTCATTTACAGACTAGAAAGTGAAGCACAGACAGCACAGTCAGTGCTGGGATCCCGTGTAGTCCACTGCAGAGCTGGGCTGGGACGTGAGGAATGAGTGTGTGACATCAGCTCAAGCCTTTCACCTACACGCCACTGAACACACTGGATAAAGCAAAGGAGTTCACAGAAAGCCATCTGTCCCCCACCTACAGTCCCTGTTGTCAAAGGTCTAAATGAAGTTATTTATATCAAAATCCAGCTTAGCTTAAACATAACGGACAGAAACCAATTTACGAGTATATATAATTTATCTTTACAGTGTCTTCCATATCTTTAACAGTCGAAAGATACTAACAAGCAATTGCCACCACATCCGCAGCTGAGGAAAAACAAGCCCTAGCTGTTTAAACAGGTGCATTTATATCAAATCAGAGAGCCTGGTCTTAGGATCTAACCGGCAGTCAGATGACTCTAAAACATCTCACCTGTGCCGTCAGTGAGCATTTTCAGATCTATTTCCTCAGAACTAAGATAAACCAAAAATAAAAAAGATGGACATTTAAAAAAGACGTTCTTTTCAAACAGCATCAGCCTAAACGTATCTCCGAAGAAAAGCCATTCACCTGGAAAAGTCCTTGTCCACTTCATACTCGTACTTCATCCACGTGTCCTGATACACAGAGAACTCCATGACTGTTAGCAGGGCCATAGTGGTAAACGCTATCAGAGAAACTGGGAAACCAACACAGACAAGAAGAGAATTAAACAAAGTAAACCACTATCTTAAGAGGAACTAAAATCAGCTTTAAAGTGACGCTATCGTTTGAATAAACACATTATAAAATCTAAGGAGCACAAACCTCTGCAGACTGAAATACTGACCGCTCGTCTTGAGGACACTCCCCCTAGGCAGACTTGTCAAAATTATACCCAGAACGAACTTTTTACTACTCAGACAGGTGTTTTGTCACAGTGACAGTGCAAATTTTAAAATACTCCCCTTGTTAAGCTATACATCTATGCTTATAATCCAATTTAAAGCAAAAAAAAATTAGGCTCTAAGATGACACAATAATGTGTGGGCCAGAATATTAAATAACATCTTCAGGCCCCTGAAAAACTCTCTTCACTTCACAATATCCTAAACACAGCGCCACATTTATGAGTGAAAACATTTATAGGAGCTGGAAAGATGCTCGGCAGTTAAGCGCACCAGCTGCTCTTCCAGAGGACCTGGGTTTGAGTTCCAGCCCCCACATGGTGGCTAATAACTGTCTTTATCCCCAGTTACAGGGGATCCAATACCCTCTTCTGACCTCGGCACTGCACAACACAGGTGCATTTACACACATCCAGGCAATACACTCATACACATAATTTTTTTTTTTTTTTGTCTTTTTGAGACAGGGTCTCCTTGTAGCCCCAGCTGTCCTGGAACTCACTATGTAGACCAGGCTGGCCTCGAACTCACAAAGATCCTCCTGCCTCTGCCTCCCGAGTGCTGGGATTAAAGGTGTGCGCCACCATGCCCAGCAAAAATAAGTATTTTTTAAATTGTGATAAAAAGGAAGAATTCACCACCCTGTGACGGACATAAGTGGCTGTGCAAACAAGACCTGGCACTATTTTCACCAAGAAAAGGCGTCAGGGATCAGAAGCAGTGACCATCTTACTATACTTTGATTTTTTTTTGAATCAGGGTCTCAAGTAGCCTGGAACAGTCTAGAACTGGCTGTGCAGATGAAAGTGATCTTGAATTTCCCATTCTCCTGCCTCTACCTTCCAGTGCTGGGATTATAGTGCTCAATATGCTCAGTTTATGTGGTGTCAGGATTCACACCTAAGGCTTCAAACACGCTAGGCTCACGCTCCACCAAATGAGCTATATCCAGGCTTTACTATACATTTTTATCCAATAAAATTTCAGTATTATATAAAATGCTATAACTCATCACCGGGCCAGGTGCTGCAGGGAGCACAGGTGAGAGTAAACCAGGTGCAGGGCAGGACGGGGCAGCTACCAGGCCTGCAGTCACTGACTCCCGGGGAGCTTGTGCTCAGGCACTTTCCACACTGTCATTCCCGTCACGCAGGATGCAGGCATCTCAGCTGAACCCACCTGTCCCCCCACTGGCTGACGTCTCCACATAGCTCTCAGGAACCTTGGGAAAGGCATCCAACTCTTTCACCAAACTTAAGGTTTTTTTCCGATTGGGTCGCCTCATCTTCAGGAAAGCCTTCCTCTTCCTTCACAGAGTCACGCTGCTAAGGGACAGACAGACAGTGAGCAACTAACTGGCTTCTCCGCAAAGGCGGCACGTGCTTCCACTTCAGGGTCACTGACGAACGCTCTAACCGTTCTCAGCTCTAGAGGAAAACCAGACCCACTTGACCCTCCTCTCCATTCCCACCCTGACAAAAATCACTAACGAAAGGGAACACGTGCACAAACACTAACAGCAAAAACCACCCAAAAGGAAAAAGTCACACGTTTAATATTTACACAGGCATCTCAGCTGAACCCACCTGTCCCCCCACTGGCTGACGTCTCCACATAGCTCTCAGGAACCTTGGGAAAGGCATCCAACTCTTTCACCAAACTTAAGGTTTTTTTCCGATTGGGTCGCCTCATCTTCAGGAAAGCCTTCCTCTTCCTTCACAGAGTCACGCTGCTAAGGGACAGACAGACAGTGAGCAACTAACTGGCTTCTCCGCAAAGGCGGCACGTGCTTCCACTTCAGGGTCACTGACGAACGCTCTAACCGTTCTCAGCTCTCGAGGAAAACCAGACCCACTTGACCCTCCTCTCCATTCCCACCCTGACAAAAATCACTAACGAAAGGGAACACGTGCACAAACACTAACAGCAAAAACCACCCAAAAGGAAAAAGTCACACGTTTAATATTTACACAAAACGCTCGTTTTGTTTTCTCCAAAGGTGACAAACGTATCTAAAATGCGCACTCCCGGGGCTGGATGACAAGCACAGTGTGCAGGCTCTCGCACTGCTAACCAGAGTACAGACATAAATCACCACTTTCCTTTGACAAAGCACATGCTTCAGAAATGGATCCCAGAACACACTCCAGGTTATGACCAAAGTTTAGTAATTCTCATAGTTTTATTCTCTAAAATACTGAAGACAGAAACAAACTCATGAATCCAACATACATATTACAGTGAAATAACAGGTCTTGATCTACATAACCACTGAAAGCCATACATAAAAGAAAATAATAACATATCAAAATACAACGCATCAAGAGTTCATCTTATGAGTCCTAAATTTTATAAGAGATGGAGAAAGACATGAGACAAACTGAAGTCTGTACACAAAATATTAAAAGCTGCCAGGCATTGTGGCACGTGCTTTTAATCCCAGCAATCAGGAGGCAGAGGCAGTTGAAGAGTTGGATCTCTGAGTTTGAGGCCAGCCTGGTCTACACAGTGAGTTCCAGGTCATCTGGGGGTTACAGAGACCCTGTCTCCAAAGAAAATTTAAAAGCTAAAAGTAGATCATAGGAATGTTTTGTCTTTTTTATATAATTTCAGACTTTTCATTTTTAAAATGAAAATATTTCAAAACTGCTTGATGGTCTCTTTTTGTTTTGAAACGATCTCCCTGTGACCCTGGAACTCGTTTTGTAGACCAGGCTGCCCTCGATCTTACTGAGCTCCTCCTGCCTCTGCTAGCCTGGGCACCACCCTTAAAATATGTCATAAAGGCTAGGTCTGGTGGCATACACCTTCAATCCTGTCAATCAGGAAGCTGATGCTGGAGCACCATGAGTTTGAGGCCTGCCAGGGAAAGCCTGTGTCTCAGAAGAGGAAGGAAGGGAGGTGGGGAGGGAGGGGCTATAAACCAAACAAACCATGACTAATCTGTGGGGTATTTAGAATTTTAGGGACTGGCACTTCTCATAGCCATGGGAAAATTGCAAGGACAAGAAAAACACAGGGACACTCAAGCCCACTTTATAAGATGGCACAATACTTGCAAATGCAAGCACTTTCTCTCTGCTTTAAATGGTCTCTGGATCCTTCATAAAACTGCCATAGTTTCAGATGTCAACTTGACACAAACCTAGAGTCTCCTGGGAAGAGGGAACATCAACGGAGTTATTTCCTCCATCAGACTGCCTGTGTGGCATTTTCTTGATTGCTGAGTGATGTGAGGGCCCAGCCCACTGTGGACACTGTCACCCCTGGACAGGCAGCCCTGGCTGTAGAAGTGAGTCTAGAAGCAAATCAGCAAGCAGTATTCCTCCAATTTCTGCTTCAAGCTCTTGGCTTGAGTTTACTGCCTTGGCTTGCCTACAGGACTACAACTCTCAAGTGAGACGAAATACCCTTTCCGCCCACGCTGCTTTTGGTCAGTGCTCATTCACAGCAACAGAGAAGCAAACTAGAGCAAAGCCCTGATCCAAACTTAAGCCTGGCCCTTCAATCATTCACTCTGTGTTTGAGCATGTACACACACATGTGTCTAACCTGTTCATGCCATGTGCACATGTGGAGGCCAGAGGTCTACCTTGGATGTCTTCCTCAATGGCTCTCCACCTTATTTTTGAGACAGGGTCTCTCACTGAACCTGGAGCTCACTGACTCAGATACACTGGCTGGCCAGTGAACCCCAGGGACCCTGCTGTCTCAGCCTCTCCAATTATAGGCACTCACCACATCTGGATTTTTTTTTTTCTTTTTATTTTTTAATGTGTAAAAGAGTTTTGCCTGCATGTATGTAAGCACACAACATGCATGCAAAGCCCACAGAGGCTAGAAAAGGGCACTAGATCCCTTGAACTGGAGTTCTGGATGGTGGGTAGCCACCTTATAGGTGATAGGAACCAAACCCGGGTCCTCTGCAAGAGCAGCCAGTGTTCCTAAGTGCTGAGCCATCTCTCTAGGCCCACAGCTGGCTTTTACACATGGGCTCTAAGCATCTGAACTGACGTCCTTCTACTTATGCAGGAAGCACTTTACTGAGCCGTCTCCACAGCCCTTTTTCTAACTAAATATTTAAAATGTTCATGTCTTGTCTTTAAAGCAAAATGTAACTCTCTCCTAAACTCAAGTTCAACTCTAGGTATAAATCTGGTAGGTGAGCCACAGCCAAACCTAAATGTGCTGTCTCTGTCACCGAGTGCGACTGACTCCGTTTACTTCCCTCTCGTCCCCTCACTAACTCAACTGGCTATCGAGGTCATCAACAACTTTCTCGGTACTAAGTACGAGGGAGTGAGCATTTCATACTTCCAGTCTTTATCTAATTTCACTTGAGAAAATTCTTTCTTTCCCCCTCTCTATTTTGGGAGTGGACACGATGTTCAAGCTCCCACCTGCAGAGCACGTTTGATCTTCAGATGAGAAATGCTCACCGGCAGTCTATGCGATTACTCCCAAACTGCACTCACCATGCCACAGGACCAACTTTCATCCCTCTGCAGGTCCTTGGCGTTAGGCACCGCTCTCAAACACCATGTTGCCCCCAAGTGATCTCCCAACCCTCTACGTGGGGATTCCTTCAAAATCTCTAACCAGCCCCAATCCCTAAGAATGGAAGCTTACTGTGTTGCACTCTACTACCTTTCAGATTGCCTAAAGGAAGCTCAGTATGCCACCAGTGAAATGCTTCACCACTGCTTTTCCCCCGTTTCCCCATCGCAAAGACTGACACCATGCACCCAAATGCACAAGCCAGAAACGCTGGTTACAGCTTCAGACTTTACCTGGTCCCAGTTTGCTTACTTCAGTGCCCAAAAGTCCCTAGAAGGACCTCAGTCTCAAATATTGTGGTTTGTTGCTGCACTGTTTCAACAGCCTCCAATCTTCAGCCCTTTAACTCTCTCCACACTGTTGTGAATTGATTTGTAATACATTAAACTCCGTAATGTTTCTCTTAAAACCCTTGAGTAACTTCCCATTACACTTGAGTATAGGCCATCCTGACATGGCTTACAAAGCCCCTCACAAACCCGAGTGCCGTTCACTTGTCTTCACAACCAAAGCCTTGCAGTTTAAGGTCCAGCCACACCCAGAGCCTTTCCGTAGTTCATTCTGATCTCTGCCAGGCCTGGTCTCTACTCGCCCCCCCCACCCCCATTTCCACCTGACTGAAGGACTGCTTTCTCAGCCTTCCACCTCACTGTGCCCAAGAACACCCACCTTGTTCCCTGTCCCAGAGCTGCTTCTAACTGCTGTTCCATTTTCTGCTTTCTTCACAGGACTGTCAGGGCAGGACCCACATCTAACCTGACCTCTGTCTCTCTGATGCCCGAGACAGGAAGTGCCCGCCAAGCAGAGGGGAGGAAGGAAAATATCCACAACACAGACTTCAAATCCTAACACTGTCATACTTGGATAAGTAAACAAGAACAGTTTCAATGAGGAAGGATTCTGTTCTGCTCATGCCAGCATCCCCAGATCTCATAGTTGGTGTCACACTGTTAAACAAATAGTGCAGACTACTTCCAAAACTTGTTACATATTCATAAATTTTATAAAAAATTTTTTAGTTTTTAATTATATGCAAGTATAACATTGTGGCAAGTGACTGTTAGTTTCACAAACCCCCAAGAACAAATACAACCTTGCACTGGTGCTCCCTGAAGAGCCAGACGGTATGTCCCACCTGGCTACCACCCACTCTCCTGCCTCCTCCAAGCCTGCTTTCCATGACCACCACTGGAATGAAGCACGCTACCATCTGGTACGTTTGTATCTCGTCCCTGCCACCTCACTAACCACCACCAAGAAATCCATTGCATCTCCAAAACGCACAATGCTTGTAAGGCCACTGTTCTGATACAAATTATCCAATAACTTTTCTAAAAATCCACCTACCTGTTCTTTATCTTTATGAAATCTCACTTCTTGTTGGCAACTCCCCAATGACACTTCCTTAATTTCTAAGACGCACAGGTTAAAGCAGTTATGTTTTCAATCCTACTTCTCACACATCTCTTCCCTTTGCAGATCTGTCTTCCCCTAATAGCTAAGGAACTGTAGCTAAGGAACACGCTACACAGGACAAGCACCTTCCTGCCAGGTCCTATTCAAGGCAGTCCACACTTACTCTTCAATACAACACACTACTTTTATTCTCACTTCAAAATGGGAACAGTCACACATTCTTCCCAGCAAGGCACAAGTAGGTCTACTGAGAACAGGGACTCTACTGAGAACAGGGACTTATCCCAGTTTGATCTGAACCCCGGTGCACCTACTCTCTTCGCCATCTTCCACCGACACCTAGAGGCATTCACGACTCACTTCTGTGCCTGGATCCCACTCTTCCTTACTGCACCGCCATCCTCTCTGCTCAGAGGAAGCATGGTTCTCACTGCACCTTGGTTTTGGACCTCAAGCCTCAAAAACTAACAAACTTCTCCTGTTTTAAGCCTCTCATTTTATAGCCATTTGAAACCATCTTCTAGGCATTACTGGGTGTCTGATAAATTTGAAAAGAGCCTCAACTTTTCAGAATCTTTTCTGTACTGTTACTTAAAGGGTGGGGCATACTGGCTACCTCATGGCTATTAACAAGAAGTGAGGTGCTTAATAACTATTTCATAATTTTCAGAAATCAGATTTATGAGGTATTTCTGACCCAGATATGAGGAACCTGGGAAAGTATAGGTCAGTGGCAAACAAAATATATTTACAGTGCTGGAGAGATGGCTCAGCGGCGGAAAGCACTGATTGCTCTTGCAGAAGACCCAGGCTCAATTCCCAGCACTCACATGGCAGCTGACAACCGGCTGTAACTTTGGTTCCAGGGGATTAATGCCTTCTTCTTCTGCCCTTTGAGGGCACTGCACAACACGGGTGCACTTACAGGCAGGCAGTACACTCATACACATAAATATATATATGAACATATTATTTGCAATATGAATGCTCTCAGAGCAAGAACATGGGTTAAAAAGGCAGTCAGAGGGGAAATGAGCTGCATGTTTAAAGACCACATGGAGAGGCAGAAGCAGAAATGACAAGCCCGCACATTAGTAATGAGTAGAGGACAGCAGTTTGCCAAAGCAAGAGAAGGGAGTGCTGAGCTGTGAACTATGCACACAGCAGTCACAAAGTATTCTTAAAACTCTCTACTGCAGCCTATATTTTACCTAAAATCCAGAGCTATACTTGCAACTTCAGAAGTCAGAGAATGAAAGTAAGAACAAGACTACATACCAAAACTAAGAACTTTGTGGCAGGCAGCAGGAGAGCTAGGCACTACCCTATCGTCCTCGTTTTATTATGAGGAACCTAATAAGGTGCAGGGAGCTTAAATAACATGCTCCCCATGACATTAAGCAGTAGAATAAAGATACCGGAAAACAGTTAAACAGAATTTGCAGCACAGACTGCCTAAATGCAACATTTGTTAAAAATTAATTTCATTTTAAACGACTAACCTCCGTGAAAATAAATTTGTAGAGTTGTTCTAACTTTGTTCTTGCAGACCAGGCTGACGCTCTTTAAGAGACGTTTAACCTGATCTATTTCTGGAAGGTGGACCACGAAGCTATCCCAGTACTCAGTTATGTAACGAGATTCACGACCATAAAGAATAAATCATTTTCTCCTCCCCTCAACCCTCCCTAAAAAAATATGTACTTTTTATTTCTCATGTTTTCCTCCGTATTAGCTTAAGAACTCCAACGAAACCAGTAAATAACCCTTTGGCAAACAAGCCTAACTCCTTGAGCTCTGTACGCTGGAGTTCAATTTATCGGGCTAATTAACTGAAACCTGGAACTCTAACTTCAAACCAATGAATAAATCCCACTTTAATTGCCTTTAATTGCTTCTGAAGGCCCGAGAACCCCGAGATCCCCCGCTGAAGTTAACGCAGGTTTCTGGGATGTGTCGCCTGCAGTGTGCGGACACCCACCCCGACGCTGTGCAAGGACCGGGCGGCCGGGGCCTGGCCCCTCTCCCGGGGTCCCACGTCGAGGGATGACGCCAAGACCCGGTTTTCGTCTGAAGACAGCAAGAGCGACTATCCGGCCCGCGCGGCGGCTTCAGTCCGGACAGCGAGGATGAAACAGCGGGTCGGGAACCTGGAAAGCCGCGAGCGTGACTCCGGGACGGGAACCGGGCAGCAACCGGCCTGACTCCGGGACAGGAACCGGGCAGCCGCGGGCCTGACTCCGGAACGGAAACCCGGCAGCCGAGGGCCTGACGCCGGGACGGGAACCGGGAGAGCCACCGACCTGACGCCGGGACCAGAACCGGGAGAGCCGAGGGCCTGCCGCCGCGGACCCCGGGACGGGAACCGGGCAGCCGCGAGCCTGACGTCGACACCCGCAGGAACGCTTCGGGCGGCGGAGCGGCTCCGCTGGCAGCCGCTCTCCACGGGCGGACGGCCACTACCAGCCGGGCCGCGGGCCCCTCATCCGCGTACACGCCCCCTCCGCCCCGAGCAGCTCTGAACGAACGGCCCCCAACAACGTTTCAGCGTCCTACCTTGTTCTCCGGTCCCAGCCGACCGCCATGTTTCACAGACGCCAGGGTCGCCGGAGCTCCGTGTGCGCGGAACTATCGCGAGGACAAAAGCAGCTCATACGGCTCAGAAGCGAACGCACCTGGAGATCTCGCGATATTTACTGTGTTTGCGGCTTGTGATGCAATCAAGCAGCGCGGTCAAGAGGAAAGGGGCGTGGCTAAGCGGAAATAAGGCGTTACAGCCTGGCTGGTCCGGAGTGGGCTCTTCCGGGAAGGGAAAAGTTACCTTTCGGTTGGCACCTAGGGAAAACGGAAGGAATAGGCTGACTCTCAGCCGAGGCCGGAAGTCGCCGCGAAAAAACGCTCAGTAGTTTGGGCTCCAGGTAGTTCGGAGGCTCCTCTGCCGCGTCTTCCGGTCGAGAACTCGTAAACGTGTCTCTCGGGCCTGAGATCTGAATTACGGTCCGTGCGCGTGCAGTCCCCGAAGCGAAGCTCGGTGAGAACGCAGGACGCCTGTCCCCACGGCCTTGCGCCAGCCCCACTTCCTCATGGAAGAGCCTGCGTTGTCGCCTGTCCTCGGCGGCACAGGACGTCACAGAGGGAGCTTGCAGACGGCGTGGCCGCGAACTGCTGCCTGCTGGGGAGGAAGCCCGGACGGCTCTCCTCTCCCTCCTGCTACCAGTTTACGTCGTGCCTGTTAAAGGGTGTGAGGAATTCCGATTGACCGAAAGACAGCCGGCATCAATGAAAGGGCGTATTGATGACGAATAGGAACGGCAGGCCCCGCTGCATCGCCCTGGTCACTTAGTCCAGGCCGTTAGAACGCAGTGCCGCTATTGAATAAGGAAGGAGTTTGAGCTTAGAGGTAGGAAGGAGGAGTCAGCAGCTGTCTGCCTAAAGCTGAGGAGGCTGGGACATCTTGACTGCAGTAACTGCTCCTCAGACATGCAGGCCACATCGCTTTACTTAGTCATCCTTACTGAAATAAATTGAAACTAGCCCTCAAACCAAGAGCAGAGAAAGATTTCCCATGAGAGAACCTTAGACTTTCACGATTAGTCCAGGTAAGGGCTGGAGAGAGGACTCCGCAGTTAGAGCACTGACTGCTCTTGTAGGGGTCCCAGGTTAGGTTACCTCCACCCACATAGAGGCTCTGAGCATAACTCCAGTTCCAAGGGAGCTGACGTCCTCTCATGAACAGTTAAAAATAAGGTTCGTCCAGTTAACTGAACCCAGGTCCTCTGCAAGAGCAGCCAGTGCTCGTAACCGCTGAGCATCTCTCCAGCCCCCAATGTTTTATTCAAACTTTGTATTTCTTGTTTGCTTGCTTGTTGAGATGGACTCGATATGTAGCCCAGGCTAGCCTTGAACAGTTCTTCCTCAGCCTGCCAAGTGCTGAAATTAGAGGTGTGAGCCCCCAAACCCAGCAGTATTTACATTTTCAAACATTGTAATTTAATAATCTTCATGAATTTTTCTGTGTACCTACTTGGAACTTAAAATTTTGAAGTTCTAGGCTGGAGAGGTGGCTCAGCAGTTAAAAGCACTGGCTGCTCTTGCAGAGGACCTGGGTTCAGTTCCCAGCATCCACATGGTGGCTAACAACTGTTTGTAGCTCCAGTTCCAGGGGATCTGACACCCTCTTCTGACCTCTGTGGGCATTGCATGACGGGTGCATACATGCTGGCAATACACTCCTACATATAAAAGAAAAATAAAATATAAAAAAATAAATTTTGAAATTCCTTTTTTATCTGAGAAGTTTAGATTTTGTGTATCAGTTGATAGATCAATACTATTAGTTAAGGCACAGGGGTGTTCTCTGCCTCTGGTACCTCTACATGAGAAGAGTTAATGCCAATATCTGTAAATCATTGTATATCATATTTCAACATGACTAGTAGACACATGAACCACAGGTCAGTCAGCTGCACCTGTCTCCTCACCAGTCTTCATACAAATTTCTATGAGTGAGGACTGCCCAAGTCAGACAGGCCTGTGGGTATGGCTGTGAGAGACTGGCTTAGGTGTTCATTGATATAGGAGGGTCCAGACCACTGAGGGCAATACCATTCCCTAGACAGGTGGTCTTAGGGGCACAGGCATGAGCCTGTAGGTAAGCCAGCAAGCAGTGTGTCTCCATGGCCTCTGCTTCAAGTTCCCACTTGAGCTCCTGCCCTGACGTCCCTCAGTGATGGACTGAGGCCTGGGTGAGCCAATTAAACTCTTTCTTCCCCTAGTTGCTTTTGATCAGAGCTTTATCACAGCAACTGAATGAAACCAGAGTAGTCATAATAGCTAGTAATATATTGGTTATTAACAGTGTACTGTTGTATGCAGTAACATGTTTTAGTAGTCCCCTATATCTTTCAGTGCAGAAATACATAACTGAAATACATATTATATCACATAGTCGTCCGCATTGATTATATCTTTCAAATCTCATATTTTACTTTTTGTTTCCAAATATTTCATAGCCATCTCTTTCCTTGTTATGTGTATTTCCTTAATCTATTTGATTGATGCTTCCTATGACCTCTAGGGTAGATTTCAGTTTTTCTAGTTTTCAAAACTTAAACACATCATCATTTGGGGGTGGGGGGATAGTTTGGAGCTCACATTTCCAGCCTAGCCTGGAACTCATTGTGTAGCCCAGACCAATCTCAAATTGGGACAGTCCTCCTTCCCCAGCGACTCAAGTGCTGAGATTACAGGTGTGAATTCCCAGCTTTACATTATTAATTTTAAAAATAAGTTCCTGAGCCGGGCATGATGGCGTACACCTGTAGTCCCAGCACTCGGGAGGCAGAGGCAGGCAGAGCTCTGTGAGTTCAAGGCCAGCCTGGTCTACATAGTGAGTTCCAGGACAGCTGGGGCCACAGGGAGACCCTGTCTCAAAAAGACAAAAAAAAAAGTTCCTGAAACACAATAAATAATATAGAATATTGAGTTCAAAATAAACCACATAGGGACTAGAGAAATGGCTTAGTGGTTAAGAGCACCCGCCTGGAAGCTAATGACCATCTGAAACTTCACTTCTAGGGATCCAATGCCCTCCTTTGGCCTCTTCAGTTACAACACGAACACGGTGCCCATACATACATACAGGCAAGCAAAATACACATTAAAAAATAATTAAAATCTTTAAAAATAAACCACGTTTAATTCACGTTAGTAGTTAGTAGCCAGGTATTAATTGTAGTAATGTGAAAACAGCATTTTGAGTCCTACACAGTGAAGTGTCTTTGGGAGTTAGCCAGGAGCACAGATTACCTCAGCAAAACCTTTCCTTTCACACCTGTTTCAGGTGTGACACTGGGCTCTGGGAACAAGCGTCCTATCAGACCAATGGGTCTTAACAGTAAAGCTCATAACAACCACTACCTCACTTTACCTGCTAATGGTGACCTTTAATAAAAACCCAGCCAATCTTGGAGGAGATTGTGTGTGTGTGTGTGTGTGTGTGTGTGTGTGTGTGGTCATTGAAGTACCTGTGCTCTTCATGTTTGTGACAAACTCAGGAAAGAATAAGGCTGGGAGCTGGAGAGATGCTCAGAGAAGAGCCCTGGCTGCTCCTGCAGTGACTCAGGTTTGAATCCCAGCATCCACACAGTGGCTCCCAACCACCTGTAGCTCCAGCTCCAGGGGATCTGATGCCCTCTGACTTCAGCCACCTGCCCACATTTGGTGCACATAAACTCACACAGGCCCACATACATAATAAGATTTTCTTTAAAGAATATGATGCTATGAGAGGAAAGGATATGCGGCTGAGTTGAGAATGTTTTCTGTTTTCTGGTTTGGTTAAGTAGGTGCTAAACTAAACCATGGAGTAATTTCATATATGGGAACTTTCCCTACAGGCTTTTGTAGCTTACAAAGGCGTCCATCCATAGCTAATTTACAGATAATAGAAATGAAGGCCTACTTAATGATAAGCATTCAGATGACTAATACCTATGAACAAGTAAATACATCATTATTTTGTGATAGGAACAAACTTGATAAGTCCTTTTTTTTTGGAAACGAGGTCTCATGTAGCCCAGGCTAACCTTAAACTCAATATATAGCCAAGGATGGCCTTCAATTTCTTCTTCTGTATGTGTCTTTTAAGTGCTGGGATTACATTTGTGTGTTACCACCCCTTGTGTGATGCTGGGGATAGGACCCAAGGTCTTGTGCATGTTAGGCAAGCACTCCACCAACTGACCCACATCACCAGTCCTGAATACTTTTGTTTTTATATTAAGTTAAAACTGAGCAGTCATGCTGATAGTAACGGGTCCACCCAGCTCCCACCCATCTGTCTTGACCTCGGAGGAAGCAGTGAACAGTTAGCACTTCACCTTGTCAGCCCCTCACTTTCTTAAGAATTCTGTTTTGGGGAAGCAGAGTTGGCCATGAACTGATTTTCCTCCAACGTAGGGCCAGTTAGGGTAGAAAATCCCCCTTAAAGAGCCAACTTCTTGTCAGAGACCATAGGTTGGGCTTCTGCATTGGTATCACAGTGTCAATCTAAATGAAAAAATTTCCAAGCAGTGATACTTATTTGAGAATGGGGGGCACTGTGGTGGGAATGCTTGTGCCTCAGCTCAGTTACATAAGCTACTAGACGAAAGATTCGTCCGTTTTAGAAACCCAGGACAGGCACTGGAGCCGTCTCGCTGGGGGAGGGCTGGAGAAGGCTGCAAAGTGCAGGGTGTCTGCAGTGCTCCTGTGTCCCCAAGACTGCCTGAGCGGACACCTCAGGGTTCTTAGCACGTCTTCCCAAGCACACTCCAGGCCTTGTGGGAACAACACAGAACAATACAGCTTTGTCCCCGTGAGGGCTGTGAAGCAGCTCCGATTTCTCTCACCCACTGTGTGAGATCTGTCCCCTCTGGGGTCTGATCCTGGTTGAACACCCCCTTATTCAAAGTGTTTGGAATCAAAAATGCTAAAGATTTTAGAGTATTAGAGAGTCCAAAATATTCACATATATGCAGTTGAACATGTTAGTCTTCTGTTGTTCTGAGAAAATACCTTACACATGCACACATGCATGGTTACTGGCCCTGTAGTAAGGCAGAGTGTGAGGGCAGCAACGTCCAGGGAAGCTGACAGGCAGTCAGGAGGCGAAGACAGAAGCCCGAGGACATACCACCTACAGAACTGGAGGTGACCGGCTCCCAGCTAGGTCTTCTCATACACCTTTTCGTCTATACTGAAGGTAAGGTCTATACACTGTGCTTACAATACTAGAGCATTTTGGATTCATTTGTATGATTTACACTTATGAGTGTTACATAGTCCCGTGTTTCCCTCTTTTTTCTTTCTCCCCGACCCTTCTCTGTCTTCTCTCCCCCTCCTTTCCTTCCTTCCTTTTGTTTTTTGAGACAGCATCTCCCTATGTATCCTGGCCTGGCCTGGAACTTGATATGTAGTCAAGGCTGGCCTTAACTCACTAAGATCCACCTGCCTCTGCCGCCTGAGCTCTGGGATCAAAGGCCTGCGCCATCACACCTGGCTCTACTTTCTTTTGACAAGAGTTCATGGAGGCCAGGCTGGCACTGAACTTGCTCTATGACCTTTGAACCCCTACCCCACCCACTTCCACCTCCTGAGTACTGGGGTTACAGGTCCTGTGCTTTCTTAGGACTGACTAATGTCTCTTTCAGTCTGAAGAACTTCCTTTGGCATTACTTCTAGAACAGGTCTAGTTAAGAAACACCCTCTGGGAACAGCATTATCTGTTCAGATGTTTTTTTCTTTATGCCTGTAAAAATCTCATGTCACTGCTGGCCCGTAAGGTTTCTGCTGAGAAGTTTACTGTTGGGTAACTTGGGTCACCCCCGTGTG